GGCTATGATATAATTACCCAGTAATAAAGCTCTCCATCTCTTTACAATGTACTATATGCAAATCGATTGTTGGTTGACCTCATCAAGCAGATTAATACAGTAGGGATGGCAATTTGCATTAAGCGCCAACAGGAAGTAAGTACCATTATTTTAAATTGGCCCCACGACTACTCCAAAAAAATACCAGGACACACTTGGTAAAAACTGCTTTAGAAGTACATTAGTGATACTTTAAATCCAAATGATCCTAAATTCCGTCTCTCGTATGCGCAAACCTCAATTCTTGATCGTGTTGAACCTTACTTACCATTTAAAGAAAGTATTGTTTTATCCGGTGAACAAAAATTAATTGCCAAATGTAGGCTAAAAATAGCCAAATTGTAACTATAGTGAGTTGGATTTTTTTCCTTACATAAGCCTTGTTTACTTTAATATTTTGCAATTTACTACAATATTTTTTTTAAACAAATACATTCCTTAGAATATACATAGGAATTGAAAAATGATACATTTTTAAATCACCTTTTCATTGATCAATTTGATTTCAACACACCCAGTAACGGTATTGTAAACAAAACTCGTAGCTTATTTTTATTTATTTATTATTGCTATTTATAAAGCGCACACAGATTCCGCAGCGCTGTACAATTAGTTGAGAAACGTACAATATACACAAACAAATACAAGAGGTAAGAGAGCCCTGCCCGTAAGCTGATATCTAGCCATTGGAGCTCTTTTATACAAAGTGCTTAGCTAGATGGCCCGTGAGCCTACAATCTAAAGGATACCAGGGGGATTTGAGACAAGAGGTAGCAGGGGAAGTTTGGAGGTGATGGCTGAAAGAGTTAACAGAGAAGCAGCTATTGTTAAGATTATAACAGATTGATGTGATAACATTGTAAATTAGTTTTTTTTATTGTTGGTTCCATATTTCACATAATTCTCAGTTAGACAACAGCCAGTACTTCCCAGATGAGGACAAAAAAAAATAATGAAAAATTCCAGAAAAGTCTGTTTGTGAATAGCTATTCCTGTCAATGTCAGGCAACATGGGGACGATTCTGACACCACCACTTACCTTGCCTTCAAAACAGAGCTCTGGGACTGCTCTTTGGAAGCGAATTATGGGAAATTAAAAGAACAATATAGAGTCAGGGGCACTAACATGTATTACCGACCCTAGAATGTTAAAAAAACAAACATTTAGCCCCCCTGCTCCTCTATCTTAATATAGTAAAATCTTACTTTTATTCCAGTCTGCTGCTGCTGACTCTGCCCCTGGTTTGACTGCTTGGCTGACATAATCAGAAGTGTTGATCAAAGACAATCACAATGCTTTCACATAGGAAAGCATTGGATTGGCTGAGAGTGTCAAGGGGCAGGGGCTGGGGCAGAGCCAGCACAAGCCCAAAACAGCACTGGCCAATCAGCATCTTCTCATAGATATACATTGAATCAATGCATCTCTATGAGGAAAGTTCAGGGTATCCATGCAGAGGGTGGAGTCACTGAATGTCAGTAACACTGTGCAGCACTGCCCCAAGAAGCACCTCTAGTAGCCATCTGAGGAGTGGCCAGTAGAGGTATCACTAGGCTGCAATGTAAACAGTGCCTTTTTTATGAAAAGACAGTGTTTACTGCAAAAAGTAATAGTCGTTGTTCTGGCGACTATAGTGTCCTTTAAAGTTCAATTTAGGATTTCAGTCCAGAACTACACTCTCCTGGTACGAGCCAAGTATAAGAATATTTCTAAATTCATTTGATTGATTGTGTCGGCATTTTGCACCACGTCTAATCTAATTCTGAGAATGGCCTGAAGGGCTGGTGAAGGACAACTAATGGACGTCTAGGCAGAAAAGGATGAAGATCCCACAGGACCCTAGGCAGGTTACGGTTTTGTGCCCTCTCCTTCATATAGGGATAGTGAATAGGGCCAAGCATATTCATGGTTATGTGGGCCCTAGGCATCTGCCTAAGGTCACCTTATAGCAATCCTGCACTGCTTCTAGGACACGCTCAATAACGGTTCTCCGGGTGAGGAGAGTGGATTCACCTGCCTTTCTTGCCTGATTCTGGCTGCTTCTGGCATTGTTGGGTTTCCTGTTCTCGTTTGGAATATTTTTCCTTTTTAAAGTTAGGCCCACCCCTGCAGGAAGAGTTATATATATTTCTCCTGACCACCGGCTTACCAATAGAGCGATGTATGGTTCTTTTTCAGTTTGGTAGCTCACAGAAAAACAATCCTTTTGTTTCCTGCTCTAGAACACTTGCCCTACAATGCTGGTGGTACAATGTATATATCCTCCCTTTAAACATTGTTAGTTATTGAAGCACTGTTTAGGTGATAGATCTTTCAAAAACAGCAGCGTTTTCTGCCCTGTTCCATGAAATCATGGTGAATTAGCTATTGTTCAGAGCACTCGCTAGAAGGCCAGGATGTGCTCTTTTAAGCGTTAAAGATTTGTAGTTGGTCCAATGCACCACAACAAAACATTGCTGATCGATAAGCTCCACTGTACCTTTATCTACAGGGCATCCCCTATTACCAGTCATTGCAGCAGCGCTGCCTCTTGCTTTTGTGTTTACTTGCTAGAGCTGCCTTATTTCCAGCTTAATGCGGCTTGGCAGTCTTTGGAGTGGTTAAATCTTTGTCACAAGTAATTCATGCTTACAGTTGTTAATCAGATTGGGGTACATGGGACAGTAATTCCTTTCTTAGGAGATTATCCATTTCATCGGCCACGGCTCACAAGGGACAGCTCAGAGCAGCCGAGGGATTTGTTGTTTTCTAATTTCTTTTAACGGGTTATGTTTACAAGGATGACACGGTCTGAGAAATCAGCGTCGGATGTTTCAATGGATTGAGAGAATGCCACTCCAAAGCCAACACGCTATATAACAACTAATACAGAGTCACATCTCAACAGCGTAAAGCTGGGCCAGAGAAATTCTGTGACAGCAGGAAGACTAGATACAATTATAAAATAATAACATAACTCAGCATTAAAGGGGAAAAAGTCCTTTGCACGTCTCTTTGTATGCATACGTGAGATTTATTCAGATGGAAAGAGCTAAACATGAATTCATTTACCCAATGGTTGGTTTTTATATTCAAGGGTGGTGCTATTGAATCACGTTCATTATAGGATTAAATAGTGGATCTCTCTCTCTCTCTCTGCGTATATACACACGCGCACACATACATTTTCATAAGCAGGTAGGAATATGCTGAAAGTATAGAAAATTTGGTATTCTGTAAAAAATTAAATATATAAACCGCTCAGTAATTCCCATCTTTATTAACACTGGCCCATCCACATTAAATGGACTCTGCTATAACAGGTATGGTAGAAACAAGCACAGCTGCTACATTTATATGTACATTACGCTAGCCTGAGGGACTGGCGAACGGGGTGTTGGCAGCATAGCAAGTGCTACCCTAACTACAAACAGTTTCTTGGTTGGAGTAACCCCCGTACACGAGAGGCATTTACCTGACGATACATTATGGTGGCGAATGCTGTACACATATTGATAGGAAGGTAGGTTCAAACGTTCATTGCTGAAAGTCGACTTGAAGAAGCTGATGTAAACCCCGCAGTATTTTAGTATATGTATTTATAACGCCATATGGTTTGTGGGTGGCAGAGTCATTGTAGCACTATCTGCATCAAGTCAGGTGTAAACATTCCATACTACGGGCATGGGGTGGCATAAATTACATCCCCGAGAAATTTAAGTAGCTGGTACCATACACGGTTTTATGTGCCTTTAACTTATGGGGAGAGTAGGATAAATCCCCTTGGAAATAGGGACAAGGATAGTACATTTTGGAAAAATCATGGAACCAAAATTTGTGTTTTTAATTAGGCTCATAGATTGGTGCCAAATTTATTTAAAACACAAACAAAAGTTATAAGCTCACTGTAGCCATTCCCCTATTTCTCTCTATCTCTGCAATATTCAGGATTACCACCCGCACACCAAAGTTATCAATGTATCTCTTATCCAACACCAACTACAGCAAAGATAAGAAGCTTGCAGACAATTAGGTTACATTATTTAGCCTAAATCTCTTTATTGCAACACATTCATACCTGCTTGATAAGCATCACAATCTATATAAGCCTGTAACAGGCTTAGAGCAAGATTTCTTTGTCTCTGCTTTCACAGTAGAAAGAGTGCTATGCAGGCTCACATGTAGGGAATCCTTGATTAATAAATACATTTTCTCTGTAAAATGTAAAAATGCTGCCTATCCTGCCAGCACTGCTTAGCCTAAAAGCATGATTGGTATGGGCACAGGGAAACATGGTTGATCTGGAAGTACATTCCTTCCAATTTTCTCCTTTACTGAGAAGGACATGCATTGATAAAGGGGATAACCCAAAACATTTGTACGTTAGGTTCCTGTAAATAAATCTTTTTTTTTTTTTTTAGCACTTGCTGTGCACATTTGCAATTGTTTGCGCTGCCGTCATTTTTATTTTTGTCGAGTACTTTACCCTGCTTGGAGCAGCACAATAGGAAAACTTTGTATTCTGATTTTTTCTGGGTACTGCAGTAACTCTTGCCTCGTCTATATACTGGTGGGTACTGACTTACAGAAACCTACCATTAGCCACACATTTGAAATCATGTATGTCAGCAACCAACAGCGCCCCCTGGAGGAATTTTCAGCAGCAAAATTTACAAGTCAGTTTCTATACAATTATCCTAGCATGCAAAGATTCAAGGTTTGTTTTCCCACTTCTGATGCCCAATTGTTTTATTTATATAGCGCCAGCAAATTCCATAGTGCTGTACAATGGATGGACTAACAGACATGTAATTGTAACCAGACAAGTGGACGCACAGGAACAGAGGGGTTTAAGGGCCCTACTCAATGAGCTTACTGATGTCTTCTATTTTTTTTTTCTGAGTTCCCCCCTGGACCCACAAGGCCCAAACAAGGAGGTATGACATGTTGAGCTTAAGACACACACACCAAAACAAATGGACTCTGCTACAAGAATAAATCACACATTGCCCCGACTGTTTAATACCATTTTAATGCTTTTATTTTTAATTATTTTTGCATTATAATATCAACTACAGGTTATCAAACGTGTCCCCCACAAAGAAGCATTCTTGAACGTAAAAAATATAAATTCTGCATATTAAAAGTGCATACACCTTGAATAATAAACATAGAAATAAATAAAAAGGCATTGTTACACCATCATGCACCAGACCATACATTACTTAAGAACCTGCATTTGTAAAAAAACAAAAAAACGTAGCCACCTGAACCTTAAAGAAACGGTTCGAGATCCGCTTTCCTCACATTTCCAAATCTGCGCAGGGCAATCCGGATATGTCTAAATCCCACCAAGCCACTGAAGGCGCTAGGAGACAGCTGCTTTTTAGCAGGCAGGACAGAGAGGTGGGCTAAGGTCGGAAAGCGTAAGACAGCAGCAGGAAACAGAAGATTCCTAAATCCAGTGTAAGCATTAAAAAAAGGCAAAAAGAGGAGACTTGTGACAAGCAAGCAGCATTCGTAACAAGTTCTCAAAGTAAAGGCGTACATAGCAATTTCCTGAAGACTTCTAATGAGAAAATGAAGTGAAGCTGCATTCAGTAGAGCAGATCATTAATGAAAGCCAGACACATGGGGAGGTGATGCGGATTCTGCATGCAGAGTTGGAGGGCACTCAGAAAGGTTTTCTAATACCAAATACCCAATAACGTCTGCCAGGGCAGGTTTACACTGCTATATAACCCAAGAAATAAAGACTGCTGGGATTACTCATTAAACATTGGATTCTGGTGAATCAACAAGGGAATTTATACATTTTAAACAAAAAACCAAACTGTAAAACGTGCCCAACTTCTATTTTCTAAATAACTGACCTGTTTTATCCCTAACTTTACTATTCCCCTGTCAATTCTCCACATTTTCAGTTTAATGAATAAACGCCATTAAATAACCAAAGATAACCTGTTTTGCCCAAAGGTGATCTAGAACAGCTGAGAACGGCTAGAAAAACCTAAAATGTGACTTCTTGTTACAGGGACACTTCAAGCACCATATCTACTACAGCGCAGTGTACTGGTTATGGCAGGGGTTAGTTTATTGGCTGAGAGCAGTCAGCTGACAAGCCTCTTTTAAAGAGCTGGCTCAATGAGATTATCTCAGGAGAGATTAGGAGCTTCCAGCTCTCCTTCAGTAGTGGAGGCAAAACCCAGGTAAGAAGTCAAACCATTAAAAAAAATGGTTTAACTACTAATGGGGGGAAATTTAACTATTTTGTTGTGGTTTTATTGTCAACCCACCTCAACCCAAGGTCTAGTAAATAATGTCCCAGGTATCTACAGTGCTGGAGGATGGGAGATGATGGACTAACAAAGGCAGCTGTGCATACTGGGATTCTAGCTGCGTTAAGCAAGGCCATGTGTGATGGGTTGCACTATTGACGCTTGCTCTCATGCTGTACCCAATATACACAGGATGGGGCTGTCCACACTGCCTGTACTAATCTGATCAGACCTTGAGAACTGGCAGTGCTCGTGAGGTACATGTAATGTCTGAATGCGCGAGCTCGATCGATGCTAAAAGCCAGCAGACCACATATGGAGCACAAGGGAATTTCTGTGGCCCTGAGCTTTTCCTGAGATCCAAATGGCTTTATTAAATTACATCATACTCTAAAGAGTGCCTGTTGCTCTCCACCATATAAATCTGAGTGATCTATATCCTGCCAACATTAAAAATAAAATAAAAAAGTAAATCACAGAAAGCAAAAAATGATGGTCTCTGCAGACAAGCTTTAAGATAAAACCTAATATTATTGAAAAGGAACCATAGCAAAGCCAGCATATTGTGGTGGTTATGGTGTAACAACTCTATGGGTGCATACTGTCTGGTTTTGTTTAAAATACGGAGAAATCCGCAGCACCCACAGGCCACCCTCTCAGCCTGAGACGTCATATGAATCAAGTTTAGCTTCCTCATTACATGTCCAAATGACTTGTACAGGTAGCCAATCCATACGGGATAAGCTTTGGATTCTGTGATAACTTGGACCATTTTTTTTTTCTCTCAAACTGCTTGAAATTGGTTTGACAAAATCTATAAAAAATAAAATTAAAAAAAAAAAGACTGCACCGAGAGGGTCCTAGCACCATAGTCACTAGTGGTAACGTGCTTGGAGATTCCCTTTAAAATTAAATCACTGGAGGGAAGAAAGGAAGAGACTGCAGGAAAATGCAAATAAATTACACCTGAATATATATACACATATATATATATATATATATATATATATACACACACACACACACACACACACACTCAAAAAACAAACCTAGGCATAATTAAGGTTTTGGTAAAGTAAAAAAATAAAATAAAAAATGAACATATGACAATGAACAAAATGATGCATACTGCACACCATAACAGTTAAAATGTAATAAAAAAAAAACCAAAAAAAAAATATAGCAATTATATAGTATTAGCAATTTAGAAAAAAAGAGGCAATTTGACAGTTTTACCTCAGGCAAAAACAGTAAGAGAAAAGGCCATAATATTTACATGATAAAAATGCAATGAGTGTGCTATGTCCATGGACATTGGTAGTGTATGTAAGCTGGGACCGGCATGAGATGAACAGGCATGAACTACACTGAAAGCGACTAAATTCAACCCATTATCTTGTATTACAGTATTACTTTAAGATCATACCTGAATGGTATTCAACCAACCAATCACATCAAAACCTAGAAACCACCTATGGGGGAAAACCAAACAAACTCCTTGAGTACAAAGCCAGCTGTGTTTAATACTTGGAAAGGTGATGGTTATGACCTATAAACTATTGGTTGTCCAGCAAATTGCCAGTTTTCCAGGTAAATGCCCCCAACTCTATGCACACTGTAAATACTATAACCATTTCATCTCATTGAATTGATTATAGTGTCTGGCACGGTCACTCCATTCAGTGTTAAACAATGTTTGAGCAGTTTAACACTAAATAAGATCCCTGGACAACCACAACCCAGCTCCCACCGGAGGTGTGGCTAAGGCAGAGATTACACACTTCCTACTACCCATACCAGTTTATACCTGAATGGGTGCTGTGATTGGCTTAAAGCAGTCAGTTGACACTCTCAGCCAATCACAGCTGCTCAAGCTAATGCTTCCTTGTTAGCCCAAGCAGCACAGCGAGGACAGTCTGCTGGGGACCTTAAAAAGCATTAAAACATTAAGAAATGTTCAACAATAACTGGAAGGATGGCGCCAGGAGACTCCAGGCACTATAACCACTTCAAAGAGATGATGCACTTACAACGGCTACAGTCCCTCCAAACCTGAGGTGGTCTGAACTTGTCTTTTTTCTTGGCTAGTTCTATAAAAGTTCTGTGTTGGAACACAGTTTACCATGTGAATTCTGCCCAGTAGAAAAAGTAAGGAAAAGATTTTATGGCAAACATGGAGAAACTCATAAATATGTAAAACAGGCAGCCTTGCTCAAGAGATTATTTCAGAGAAGTGGTAACTTGTCATATTATCATATTCAGAGACTGATTAGATGAAATAGCCGTACTGAAAGGCTGATGCCTGCAATACCTAGTCCCTATGATTAACGCTATAAAGAGCTGTTCTGCAAGATCCGCACTCGAGGTAGTTCTCGCTGATAGTATAGAAGCTGTTACTGTGCTGCATTTAATGCTTTGCAGATTTAGTGAGTCACTACAATTACCAGCATGTTGAAAACCCCTTAATGAAGCAAATAGAATGTTTAGAATTTTGTGAGATGGAATGTAGACTGGGTAAAGAGAGAGATAGCAGCAGTTTATGTGTTTTTTTTCCTCACTCTTATGAAAATGCTACAAAAAAAACAAAACAAAAAGACATATAAATATGTTTAGTGTTGTACACTGGTGCTGTAAAAAACAAAACAAACGGAAAAAAAAAATCAAAAAAAAAATATCAAAGAATATCAGTGCCAACTATTTTACATATTTCATAATCTACAACGACAACTTACTGATTAACAAGCCTTTCTGAGGTATTTGGGGAACAATGTGGTGTGAAGAAGCATAGCTTGCATAACCAATGTAAATTTAAGTTGGATGCGTTTTTTTGGATCATTGTTTCTGAAGGATACAGTTATGAAAAATGCAGTAACAGCTAACTTTACCACTGCAGGGGTTTGTGAAGTCACAACAAGACATTTGTGAACTAAATTTCCCATGATTCTCAGCTAAATATAGTCAACAGATATCAATAGCGTCAAGCCTTGCAGTCACTATACTGCAGCATATTGGCCAGACTATGTCATATGGACCATATACATTCAAAAACAAATAGCTGGAATAGGCAAAATATAAAATAAGCACAGATAAGGGGAGGGGGGAGGAACAAAAGCTGACAATTAAACGAGCTCTACAGGCACTCACATGTGTTGGATACGATGTGTAAAGACGTTTACTGGTTTCTAACCTGTTCTCAAGGCATTACAACATTTCAACTTTTAGGTATTTCCCAATTCTGTTTCAAAGGAGGTATTGAAAAAAACCTTTAACCAATTTTATGCATTTGGAACTAGGGCAGAAACTAATAGTTTGTTAGGATAGGCTAAGTGATTTAAAAAAAAAAAAAACAAACATTTTTTTATATAGTTTTGCTAAACAAGGCCACCATATTTCTGCCCACTCCCTTGCAACCTGAAAGATTTCTTTTTTTTTTTGCTGTACACGGTGTGACTGTTTTTGGGAGTTGTGTGTTTTGTACTGTATAAAACAGCTGAACTACAACTGATTGACAACTCACAGAAACCCTTGCTACACCCACGAAGCATTACTTATGGGCTAAGCCTGGCAATTCTAATGATTCTTCAAGGAGCATAATGACTGGGCCATTTCCTGGTTTGCAGAGAGCTTATTGCAGAAGCTGCAAAACCTTTATATTTACAGCAAATTGAAATGGGGGGGTATATGTTTTGTAACCATTATTTTCTACGTATTCTAATGCCTATTTTAATGCATTATTGATGAAAAGCATAAAAAAATAAAAAATATATGAACTGATAGACGTAAGAATTTAATTTACAAATCAATTCCCTAGAAAGGAACATTTTACATATACGCTTTCTGCATGGGCAAGGAGAGAAGTAAAACAAGAGAGAATAGTGTCTTATCTTTTTAGATAAGACTAAGCTGGAGAGCATTAATACCTCCAATAATTGGTTTTATATTCAGTCTGTAAGGGTGTAGAAAGCAGTTCTATGGCAGCAATATCAAAGTTTATTGTACATTTGACTAGCAAGGAGCATCATGGGAGCTCCAATGGCTCAAGAGTGTGACGGTGAAATTTTGGCACTCATCATTCTCTGTCGGCTAACTGCAGCTGGAGGAAAAAGATTGACCAGCCCCGCTATTACAAATACCAACCAGAAATCCAACTTTGAAAAAGTGTCCTTAAGGATGGGGCAACTGCTTTTATTATTTGGAACTGCAATTACGTGAAAAGAGTAATTTGGAAAATGCTGGACCCAGCTCCCTACTGACTATGGTGAAGTCCAAGGATGAATTAGATGGACAGGTAAAAAAGATGAGACAGATAGGTAGATAAGTCAGAGAGATTTTTTTTTTTTTTTTTTAAACAGACATTCATCTAACGGTTACATATCTGGTCTACACTAAAATATGGCATTATATAGTCAGATTAAAAAAAAAAAAAAAAAGATTTTGTACACATCTACAAGCTCCCAATTATGTGTTTAAAATTCTAAAGACAACTTGTCATCACTAACCAGAAGTGCAAATAAATGACCACTCTAGTACAAAAATAAAAGACTTCTATCATTCAGCCTTCTATCCCCAAACACGCAGAAGAACACACCAATGATTACTGTACACAGTTTGCTAGCAGTGAGAGTGCGAGAGGGTAAATACCAATGGTTGCTTGCATAGGTTACGAGTGCGTGCACATTCCATTTCTACTTTGCCATGCAATAGTGCCTGAGGATTAAAAAAAATAAAATAGGTAAAGTCCAGCTTCTACGTCTCTGCCAGTGTGTGCTACGTTAGAGGGGAGAGGAACTGGCAAAACTCTCACTACTTTTTAACGCTACCAAATGGAGGGCTTCGCCAGATCTGTGATTCTTTGGGGGTGGGGGGAGGTTTGCAGTGAATATACAAAGTTTTCATAGGATGTTTTCAAAATGTTCCAGTGAGTTTAAGAAGGATTTTGTTTTTGGTATTGTTAAACCATCAATGACAACCCATCTATCCAGCATTTACACTCAATTCTAGGGAGAAATAACGGCTGTTAAGTGCCACTTTACTGCCAAGACGATTGTGACGCACAGCAAGGTATACATTAGAAAGCTGGCCTTTTTCTGCAATTGTAGTGGTGTAGAAGCTCTAAATAGTGCGCTCTTTCAGAGACGGAAGAATTACAAGTTAAAAAAATAAAAAAAGACAGCCCTGTAAAAATAGCTTTGCAAATTACTATAAACACAAAGTGACACATTCTGGGCAGTTTCTTTGCCCCAAACACCTCTGATCTCTTTCCAGAGAGGTCAAATGTTGCTTAAATCTGAAATACAGCATTATTGGTAAATACTGAAAGCACCACAAGTGACAGCAGCCATGACGAATGATTTCCCTTGCGATAGACTAGAAGGGCCCAGCTCATTAAAGTATTATACATGGCATGCCGGCATTGTTCGGATATACATAAAGGCGTCTGCACCTGCATTTCACTTGGCAGTTGTATGTAGCAGATACTGTTAAAATGTCCATAAAATAGAGTTGGAGCTCAGAGGAAGATGGCCCATGGCTTGGCAGCAGGATCTTACTATCTATCTTATCTAGAGCTTGACAGATGACAGTGGACACCTTGGCGGAGAAAGCAGAAAGCCAATGTAAAAACAGTAACATGTCAAGGAGCCTATTAGGGGGTTCTTCTCAGGCTATGAAGCACGAGGAAAGGATGCTTCTAGGGCAGAAACAATTGAGATTAAGAGCAAAATGCAGGTACTGACCGTGACAATCCCAGACAATGGCTAGTGAAGCCAACTCTGTAGTCACATGAATACGTTTGTAGTGCTTAGTTTCTCTAACATAATCCATAGGCCTACATAGGCAATAATATGCGCAATATCAAAGGCCATAATTACATAAAGCAGGAGAGTACTTTAGTTGCCCACATGAAAACATGCTTGGCACAGGGAAAGATCTCCAATGAATTAACTATAAAACATCTTAATAACTACGATATATGATATGATAAGAATAAAACGGTGGTGGAAACAGACCAAAACATCAGCCATCTATGCTATAACGGACACAAACCTTCCCATGCATACATGAGAGCAGAAAGTTAGCTTGTCCCCTCTTTGTTTGGCATTGGAAAAACAATTCAACCTTCATCTTACCCACGTTTTGTGCTCAACTCGTAAGTGAGGCTTTGGTAAGGAAGAAAGCATAGATAAAAAGCAGCATTTTGAAGACAGAAAAAAATAAATGGTATATATATATATATATGCTGTACATAAATGCAGTATATATATATATTTAAACTTTCTTTTTTGAAAGTTAACAGCAAGCAGGCGGGTTTCAGTAGGACTGGCTGAGAAGCATTTTTCTGCTGGTGGAACCTGTCCTGCACTCTCCAGCCAGCCGATCAGTTGTTTGATCCTTAATGCAACAAAAGCCAATGTTCATGCGGCAAGAACTGGTAGGAAGAGTTAAAGATAAGATCTCCCGTCTCCCAAAAAGGTACAAGATAAAAACTAAAAATAAAAATTCAGGAGACCTGAAAACTGGGCATATTTCCAACAACTGTTATAAGCAGGGACAGCTCTTCTGCATTCATGTCTACAAAGATCGCAAGTTACAGCTGCCCCTGCACCCTTGGTCACTGAGTTTTTGGAGATGGCTTTGACGTAGAAGGAAACCTTTTCAGGTATTTGTCAGCAGTCTTTTTGCCACTGTCTGACGACTGAACTTGTCTTTCATCTGAGGAAGACTTAGCTTTGTGTGCAGGTAAGGAAGAATGTTTTTTGGTGCTAGAATCAACCTCAGTGGATTTCAAAGGAGGAGCAAGCTCTGGCTTCTCCTGGCCTGAGCTCTTCGATCCTGAAGGTTTCTTAGACAACAGGCTGGTCTTTCCCAAATCTGCAGAGCGTCTGTTTTCTTTCTGCCTCAGAGCAGATTTAAAGAAGCTGAGTCCTTTGTCCTCTGACTTACTGTCTCGCTTCAGGCTAGATCTTGCCGCACTATGGGGAGTTCTAAGGCTGGCCATAGAAGAACTCCGTACTGTCCGACTCTCTGTTGACATTTCACTTGCTTTGGGTGGTGCTACCCGGGGTGTGCTGGGTTTTGATGCACAGACTTTGTCTGAACCTATACTGACCCTTGACCCTTCTCTGCTTAGACTCTTTTCCGGGGCTCGATGTTTGGTAGAAGAGGTGGATACAGTTGAGGTTTTTGTAGATTGAGCAGGTTTCTTGGGTGCTGGGGAAAGAGTGCTACTGACTGCAGAACTTACTGATCTCTGTCTCTGCTGAGAAGCAGAGGAAGGAGTATCCTGTGTTCGAGTCGTCTCTTTCCGATGCTGCGTGGATGCACGTCGTACAGGAGTTTTCATTTCACTCCTTTTAGTTTTTGAACATTGCTTTGCAGAAGCAGCAGGTGTTTCCACAGAAGGTTCCTCTGCCGGCACACGTACATTTTTATCTTGTTCCACTGCTGACTTACTGTCAATTAGTTTTTTACCCAGTATTTCCTCACTCTGGGGATGGTTCTCATGTACAGGGGAGGAGTTTACAGAATCACTTTGATCCACGTAGGCAATATGGTTATTGTTATCTAGAGGATCAAGGAGAGGGTTCCTGCTCACAAGTTCAGCAGCACTTTTTCCAAATGACTCCACAGGAGCAGATTTTTTGGCCAGCGGTTCTCCATGGGCGACGCCATCTGCCACAGCAATCGGGGCCCGACATGATGCTCGATTCTCTCTTCTTCCACCCTCAATGTGCTCATGAAAGCTCCCTGACAGGTTTCGCAGGCTTCCAAAACAGGAAGTGGAGACGTGGTCGTCTGCTTCCCCAATCTTGCTGAGGGATGAGCCATGGACTGGAGAGTCAGAGGGATGACGACAAGAAGTGGCTGCCCGCAAGTGGAGTTTCGCTGCAAGGGACCATGATGGGCGGAATCCATTTTCATTAGCAACAAGTGGGCTGGTGACAGATTTCCCAGATATACTCTGTCGCTGAACGCTGCGAACAAACGGACGTGAAGAAAAGCCACCTGGATGGGAACACACAAATGTGAGAACAACTCAGTATCTAAAAAGATCTACATTGCAGAGCTACAAAATTCTATGCTTTTAATACATTTGCTGCCTAGAGATTGAACCACTGGACTCAATGTACTGGTCATGGTGAATATATCTTTGGGCACCGTTTACTTGATTTAAAGGAAACCAATGTCAAGCTCCCCTGACCCACTGTGAGAGCCCCAGTGTTTTTTTAAACTACACAAAGATTTTTTGATACAATCCTAGGGGCAGTGGCACCCAAACACTATGCACCATAACTACTGCAATGAGCTGTACTGGTTACAGTGTCACCATGCTCTTTTATGGAGACAGACTGCAAAACATGATCATGTAATTATGAGCATTTCTTTGATATGTTTTCATGAAACAAATTTAGTTTGAAATCAAAACAAAGCCCTTTCTAGCTTTGACTTAAATCGATCAAAGGGCGTTATTTAAGATCAGAAAAGTGAAGCGACCATCTGCATAACAGAACAGTAATTACTACAGCCTGCCCCGCCTGCACCATATCACTAAATGTGTGCAGTGATGGAGTTTTATTAAAATAATAGTAAATGGTGGGCTGAACAGGAAAACAAAAAAATGTATTGTTTCAGACACATTGCTAAGAATGAATATGGAGAGAAATACCAATGTTTAAAAATAAACATGGATATCTATGTTTGTTATCCAACTGGCTAGCACGGTATACACATGAAATTATTAGAGAAATTAATAGAGGCCTCTCCCTTTAAATGTAAATTATAGGCTGCTGTGTTTCTAATGTGAAATAAATACATGTATGTTAGCTTTGGATCAAAGCCTATGAAAATAGTTCAAACCAGTGTTAAACACCGGAAACCTCACCGATGAAATATTCCATTTATGAGGCATTAAATCTATAGGTCGATATCAGATGAAAAACAAAAAAAAACGCTGTGCTCTTACCGTCATCCTCGCTTCTCTCCCCAGTCATCTCTACAGACTCAGCCAATGATGCAAGCGAAGTGCGTCGGGACGAGGCCGCAGAGGCTATGCTCGGTTGCTTGCTACCACCGAGACGGGAAACCCAGTGATCGCACAGAGATGAACTTGTGGAACCTGGCAATGAACAGAGGAATGAAGAAATGGCAGCCCTTACAGTCACTGCAATTGTGATAAAGGTAGGAAATGATGAGCAACCAACCACTATGAATAAGCACTACAGTCAGTGTGAAATGCATAGGGATGGCTTCTCTGTGCCTTCCCCACCTACTGTGGATTGTTCGTTTCATATATAGGGACCATCCATTAAAACTATACTTAAATATATATTTTTAAATTTTTTATAATTAAATCTTAATAAACAAAATAAATAAAAGACAGCGCATGCTGATAATGTCCAGTGGACTTTTAAAGGCTATTATCCTACCATGAACATTTAAGTACTGCATCTAAAGAAGCGTACCGGCCACAGAACTGTTTGCAGACCAGGATGGGACGGCCGCCCTGCGCTGGTAAAAGAGGATGTAAGCCGTCTGCTTGCACACGTCGTCCTCTGGCAGAGGCTGCACTTCGCTGTCATCAAAGCAATACCACAGTCCATCCACGGAGTTCTTACAGTATGCTGAAACAGAGGATAGAACAACAATGACATAAAAATGGATAGTTAACCAGAGTGAAAGAAAAACAATACCAGTTATTTTATCATACTTTATCACAGTCATACTAACTCCGGCAGAGTTAAATATGGCTCCCAGTTCTATTTATTAACATTTCATTTGCTCCTTAATTTTTATACTTACAACATGCACGAGAAAGAACACAATAACCCTATAACAGTGCTTGCTTTGCCAAGGAGTATTTGCATATTTGATCAATAAATTCACTCTTTTTCAAGCATATATTCCATTCTTACTGGAGACTTTTCCGAAACGTGATGTCCATCGCCGATTACAAGCTCCCCTGCTATAGTAACAATATGTCCAAATAATGTCTTGTTGCAACTCTAAAATACTCTTTGCTGCAATTTCCATGCTCCATGGAATAAACTGGCGCCTAAACAATAAATTATAATTATATATGCAAGCCTTTAAATTCCAACGACCAAAGTTCCCCTTTGGGCAAACCTATATTAAACCAAAATAGCAGGTTTTGGGAAAATTAATAAATTGGGGGATTTTGTACCTTGGCTACCCTGAACTAAGTTTAGCAATTCAGTCAGTTTAGTCAAGTGAACATTCTGCTAATATTACTTTGAAGTACAAATATTAATACCTGTATAGTGACCGCCCTGCATGGTTCCATGATGATTGCACACAGCGTATAGGTCGTATATGAAATCCTCGGGGTCGCGGCCCAGGCCGTAGGGGCGTCTCCAAGGTGACCAATGAGAAGGAAGACTCCAGGAGCTCTGACTACGTTTCACTACATGAGGGGTCATGTCGAGCCCCATCAGAGGGAAACGGACCATGTTCTGTAGCTTTACCCTTCGATCTCCATCCTGCACAGAAATACAATTACCCACAGAAAGACTCACGCACACGATTCCTCACAAGCTGCCCTGCATATAGCACACACGCACATAGAAATTAATTTCTGGTCAGGTTCACTAGGACAAGTCCTAAAACTGAATACGTTTATTAAGTGCACTCTGGACAGGCCTGACTAGTAGAAACATCAACCAACAATCACTCTGTATGAAACATCCAATGCAAGTTCACATTTCAACGATTCAATAAAGCTGTGTGTCAATCTGCATAAAAGTTAGCTCCTGTATATAGAAGGGATGCTATACATTTGTATGTTAGGCTATAACTGCTCTGGAACATTTTATCTTGGATAGGTACAGTGTCAAATCTAAAGGCAAGTTTACAAAGCCATTTCATGGCACAGTTCTAATTCCAGAAAAAGAGGATCACTCCAAAAATTAAATAAATATAATCACATTCTATATTTTACTTGGCTTGTGTGCAAAAAGAGACAACCATGTTATGGTGTATCAGTAGGCTGGTTAAAATTGTTGTGATGTTATGGTGTACCACTAGGCTGGTTAAAATTGTGGTGATGTTATGGTGTACCACTAGGCTGGTTAGGGTTGCTATACTGTGATAGTGTATCAGAAGGATGATTAGGGTTGCTATACTGTGATAGTGTATCAGAAGGATGGTTAGGGTTGCTGTGGTGTATCAGTAGGATAGCTAAGGTTGCTATGGTGTATCAGTATGTTGGTTAGGGTTGCTATGGTGTGATTGTGTATCCGTAGGCTGGTTAGAGTTGCTATGGTTTATCAGTAAGCTGGTTATGGTTGTTTTGGTATGATGGTGTATTAGAGTTGCAATGGTGTGATGGCGTATCAGTATGTTGGTTGGCGTTGTTATGGTGTGTCAGTAGGCTGGTTAGGGTTGCTATGGTGTGTCAGTAGGCTGGTTAGGGTTGCTATGGTGTGTCAGTAGGCTGGTTAGGGTTGCTATGGTGTGTCAGTAGGCTGGTTAGGGTTGCTATGGTGTGTCAGTAGGCTGGTTAGGGTTGCTATGGTGTGATTGTGTATCCGTAGGCTGGTTAGAGTTGCTATGGTTTATCAGTAAGCTGGTTAGGGTTGTTTTGGTATGATGGTGTATTAGAGTTGCAATGGTGTGATGGTGTATCAGTATGTTGGTTGGAGGGTTGCTATGGTGTGTCTGTAGGCTGGTTAGGGTTGCTATGGTGTGTCTGTAGGCTGGTTAGGGTTGCTATGGTGTGTCTGTAGGCTGGTTTAGGGTTGCTATGGTGTGTCTGTAGGCTGGTTAGGGTTTCTATTTTTGTGATGGTGTGTCAGTAGGCTGGTTAGGGTTACTGTGGTGTTCTTGTATCAGTAAGTTGGTTAGGGTTTCTATTTTTGTGATGGTATATCAGTAGGGTTGCTGTTGTGTACTGGTATCAGTAAAAGCAGACAGGTTACAGCTGCCCTGGTGTGATTGGCACATTAGAGAGGCTATTCGCATTAGAATCTCTATCGATATACGGATGGGCAATGCTTGCAGATGTAGGCTTTTATATTCTAAATCACCTAGCAATACATCAGTTGGTGCTTTGTTAAGGTTTATCAGCAAAAAAAGCCAGAAGCAACCCTGATATTAGGTGTTAGTAATGCAGTGCTCCGGGGCATTTGCTTACCTGTCGAAATCTCTTCAGGTGCAGGATTAACACATCAGGCAGGGTCCACAGACTGAGTTTAATGCTGCCTTGTTGAAGCTGTTTACAGTGAGGGCAGCGCCAGGCATTGCCAGGAGCCAGCTGCAAACAGGCAGCACAAGCAATCAGGCAGGCACATTTACAAGCGCAAAACGGCAGAGGCAGCAACACAACGTATTACAGGAAACAATGCATGTGGACACGAAACTTCACACAATTTTAATATTACACTTTTTATGGCAAAATACTGATCTGAAATATCAGGGTATAGAAACAGAACAGGAGCCTTTCTGCACTGGGGGTGGGGGGGAGATCACAATCCAGTTTATTCCAGGCACATTCGCGGCACACATTACTATGATCAATGACAGAAACGCGGCAACGCTTAAAATAACGAAGGACAGGAAGCCAACATGGAAGTACGCTATCCCAGGACAAGATGTCTGCATTTATACATTTCATTTTTCACACCTCACAACATATAATGGATAAGTAATATAATATTAAAAACCCTGAGAAGCAATGGTTCAAAAAGTAAGAAGTAATCGATGATGTAGCAGACATACATACATACACACACCTTCCCTAAAACACAGTCAACTTAAACTCCTTTTAGCTCCCACTGTTAAGTGGGTGATCGACAATAAGTCTTAATTGGTATCAGTGGAGACAGGGGATCTAGTATTAGGGTGAAGAGTATGGGTTTATATTTTGTTTAAATCACTCCTAAGCTCTAAATAGAGTATTTACCTACATTGGAGTTCGTGCTCAACTCACACTAGGGATGTCAAATGGAAATAAAATGACATTCATTATGAAGGCAATATGTGTATATAATGCACTTCCTGCATTGCTGCGATGCACTATTATTCTATAAAAAAAACATTTTGTCAGAGTCAATCGTCTCCAAAAATAACAAGAAAAGGGAAACACAAAGAACAATATATCTAAACTGTAACTAAACGCTTCTTCACAGCTCTCACTATGAGTAGCCTACTTTGTATTAGGCATGCAAAAAAACTCAGCAAGTATACACTTCAAAGTCCCTAAAATCACCATCCTACTGTGCAGCTAAAATAGGGAATCATCTGAAAAGGGCTGAAAGCAGTAATCTTCTAACTTCATGCAATGTAGTAATAACTTATTCCATACATGAATAGAACAATCTAAGTAGTTAAAGAGTTAGAGTTCTATTCGTGTTGGGGGCATGTGGTTAACTCATTAGGCATGCACACACACAGACCGCATGATATAAAAGGCCAAACTGCGTGCATTGCTGCAGACAGGACAGACAGACACTCACTTGCTCCTCTTTAGTATACAGCTGGAAACATTGGGAAAGGCTGCAGTTCTGTGGTTGGTGATGTACCTCCCGCTGCAGACGGACACTCTCAGAGTCTGGGACATATTCCTCTTCTGTGTTACCAAATAGGCTATGGAGAACAGACATAAGGAGCAGAGAGTGAATGTGATCTTTATCATCTTACTTGGTGATGCATCATGAAAAGAGAAAACTATGTTCTCTCAGTTATTATAAGAAATATTATATGAATAACAGAAACCTAAATCCACATATTATATTCGCTTTAGTTTCACTTGAGGCAAACCTATGTGACAGCTGAAGTTCGAAGGACTCACGCCAAACTGGAGAGACCCTGTTGGCAGTCACCAAGTAGGATTTGTTGATAAATACATGAACACGCTTGCTGAAGTGCTTAATGTGTGAAGAGTGGCCTATTTTTTCAGTTTTGTTTACATTTATTTTATTTCACAAAAAGTGCAAATTTCAATAGAAATTTGAACTTTTATAAATTGACCTTGTTACACCCCCTGGATGTCAATCAGACAACCGGTCCCATTACTTCCTGATTTGTTTAGCTCAGTGGAGATAAACTCAAGAGACAGCAATTACCAGGAGCAGCTGCCTTGCAAAGATTTCTCATTGAGGAAGTCTGTGATTGGACAGCTGCAGAAAGTCTTGGCTGGGTTAAAATGGGAAGGCCTGTAAAGGCTGCAGACAAGTAACCTGCAGCTTTTACAAGTTAATTTGTGCTATGTTCCTAATGAAAAAAATGCATAATTAAATGTATGCATGTTTTTTCATTGAAATCATATCTACTAAACATATTTTTATCTCTTTATTTAGGACATTGAGTGTCTCTTCAACAAGAGAATTGATAGTTTTACTCTACACTTGCATAATTGGAAAAATAGCTCAGATGGAGAATTTTTCCAATTTGACGACTTTAGCCTAAAATTTCAAACACACCTTTGTCACAACTCAACTCCTTTCTATAATTACCAGTTTAGCAAATGAACCCATGTCTTGCATGTTCTACAACATAATCTCTGTGTAGCAATGGAAAGATCAGGTTTAAGAATCAAGCTCCGTAAACTTACAAGCACAAACACACACATTTTAAATATTCAAATTTTCACAAAAAACCATAAGAACGGAAAGAACATTACAAACTGTAGGGAAATAACGTTCACATAGCTGATGCATTTCACAGTGAACGAGAGCTCCATTAAGACATGACCGTACGTTAAAAATAAAATATTAATAATAAAAAAATTATATATATGTATATATATATATATATATATATATATATATCATATGAATATTGTATGGTGTAGCTTCCATATATGTGACAGCTCACTTTTAACGAGTAATCAGAATACTGCTTTCTTTAATGCGGAGTCAACATGACGAATGCGAAGGGCTCTTGCTACATATAAAAATAACTTGTTATTTAACACTCAAAAAGTAGCATATAACGTGGCATTACTTTAAAAATAAGCTTCATCTGCCAGGAAAGCAAATACATTTTCAAAACTTGAATAAAAAAGAAAAAAAAAGAAAGAAAGAATGAAAAAAAAGAAAGGAAAAAAAGCACTTTAAAGCAGAGCAGTAATCCATTACCATTGAATTATTCTACCCACAATTAGCGCTATGGGAGACAGCCAGCATACTCCGCTTCCCTATTGTACCCAATGCATTACCGTTGCAGTCATATGTAACCTCTTATAACAGCCGATAAAAGCCTCAACATTGTCATCACCGTTTAAGGAAAGAAATATGCGTATAAACACACAATTATAATTTTTTTCATATATATTATATATAAATAATCAAAGTGGCTCTCAGGGCAAACTATTAAAGAAGCAGATTATTTGCCACAAGCCTCTGTAATGCTGTAAATGGGTGAAGGGACGTAGGAAGTGGTAATAAGCTGCTGATATTAGCTGTCATGCTCCGGCACAATCTAAATGTTTCCTTCTCAATTTGCTATGCCTCAATATACCCACATAATGGCACCTCGGTGGACCTGCAGGATTTCAAGTCCTGTGAGATTAAAACTGGAGCTGAATGATGGGGTTTTTTTTTTTAACCTACGGTTTGCCAGAGGATTAAAGGCAATGAAAAACCACTAAGATAGAAAGAGACGGTCACACAGAGTATATGTAGTCAATATTGTCCCTTGTTTTGGAATATCTGTGCAGATACCAAGATAGAAAGAGCCGGTCACACAGAGTATATGTAGTCAATATTGTCCCTTGTTTTGGAATATCTGTGCAGATACCAAGATAGAAAGAGCCGGTCACACAGAGTATATATAGTCAATATTGTACCTTGTTTTGGAATATCTGTGCAGATACCAAGATAGAAAGAGCCGGTCACACAGAGTATATATAGTCAATACTGTCCCTTGTTTTGGAATATCTGTGCAGATACCAAGAGCCGGTCACACAGAGTATATGTAGTCAATACTGTCCCTTGTTTTGGAATATCTGTGCAGATACCAAGAGCCGGTCACACAGAGTATATATAGTCAATATTGTCCCTTGTTTTGGAATATCTGTGCAGATACCAAGATAGAAAGAGCCGGTCACACAGAGTATATGTAGTCAATATTGTCCCTTGTTTTGGAATATCTGTGCAGATACCAAGATAGAAAGAGCCGGTCACACAGAGTATATATAGTCAATATTGTCCCTTGTTTTGGAATATCTGTGCAGATACCAAGATAGAAAGAGCCGGTCACACAGAGTATATATAGTCAATATTGTCCCTTGTTTTGGAATATCTGTGCAGATACCAAGATAGAAAGAGCCGGTCACACAGAGTATATGTAGTCAATACTGTCCCTTGTTTTGGAATATCTGTGCAGATACCAAGATAGAAAGAGCCGGTCACACAGAGTATATATAGTCAATATTGTCCCTTGTTTTGGAATATCTGTGCAGATACCAAGATAGAAAGAGCCGGTCACACAGAGTATATATAGTCAATATTGTCCCTTGTTTTGGAATATCTGTGCAGATACCAAGATAGAAAGAGCCGGTCACACAGAGTATATGTAGTCAATATTGTCCCTTGTTTTGGAATATCTGTGCAGATACCAAGATAGAAAGAGCCGGTCACACAGAGTATATGTAGTCAATATTGTCCCTTGTTTTGGAATATCTGTGCAGATACCAAGATAGAAAGAGCCGGTCACACAGAGTATATGTAGTCAATATTGTCCCTTGTTTTGGAATATCTGTGCAGATACCAAGATAGAAAGAGCCGGTCACACAGAGTATATGTAGTCAATACTGTCCCTTGTTTTGGAATATCTGTGCAGATACCAAGATAGAAAGAGCCGGTCACACAGAGTATATATAGTCAATATTGTCCCTTGTTTTGGAATATCTGTGCAGATACCAAGATAGAAAGAGCCGGTCACACAGAGTATATATAGTCAATACTGTCCCTTGTTTTGGAATATCTGTGCAGATACCAAGATAGAAAGAGACGGTCACACAGAGTATATATAGTCAATACTGTCCCTTGTTTTGGAATATCTGTGCAGATACCAAGATAGAAAGAGCCGGTCACACAGAGTATATGTAGTCAATATTGTCCCTTGTTTTGGAATATCTGTGCAGATACCAAGATAGAAAGAGCCGGTCACACAGAGTATATATAGTCAATATTGTCCCTTGTTTTGGAATATCTGTGCATATACCAAGATAGAAAGAGCCGGTCACACAGAGTATATATAGTCAATATTGTCCCTTGTTTTGGAATATCTGTGCAGATACCAAGATAGAAAGAGCCGGTCACACAGAGTATATATAGTCAATATTGTCCCTTGTTTTGGAATATCTGTGCAGATACCAAGATAGAAAGAGCCGGTCACACAGAGTATATGTAGTCAATATTGTACCTTGTTTTGGAATATCTGTGCAGATACCAAGATAGAAAGAGCCGGTCACACAGAGTATATATAGTCAATATTGTCCCTTGTTTTGGAATATCTGTGCAGATACCAAGATAGAAAGAGCCGGTCACACAGAGTATATATAGTCAATATTGTCCCTTGTTTTGGAATATCTGTGCAGATACCAAGATAGAAAGAGACGGTCACACAGAGTATATATAGTCAATACTGTCCCTTGTTTTGGAATATCTGTGCAGATACCAAGATAGAAAGAGCCGGTCACACAGAGTATATCTAGTCAATATTGTCCCTTGTTTTGGAATATCTGTGCAGATACCAAGATAGAAAGAGCCGGTCACACAGAGTATATATAGTCAATACTGTCCCTTGTTTTGGAATATCTGTGCAGATACCAAGATAGAAAGAGACGGTCACACAGAGTATATATAGTCAATACTGTCCCTTGTTTTGGAATATCTGTGCAGATACCAAGATAGAAAGAGCCGGTCACACAGAGTATATGTAGTCAATATTGTCCCTTGTTTTGGAATATCTGTGCAGATACCAAGATAGAAAGAGCCGGTCACACAGAGTATATATAGTCAATATTGTACCTTGTTTTGGAATATCTGTGCAGATACCAAGATAGAAAGAGCCGGTCACACAGAGTATATATAGTCAATACTGTCCCTTGTTTTGGAATATCTGTGCAGATACCAAGATAGAAAGAGCCGGTCACACAGAGTATATATAGTCAATATTGTCCCTTGTTTTGGAATATCTGTGCAGATACCAAGATAGAAAGAGCCGGTCACACAGAGTATATATAGTCAATATTGTCCCTTGTTTTGGAATATCTGTGCAGATACCAAGATAGAAAGAGCCGGTCACACAGAGTATATGTAGTCAATATTGTCCCTTGTTTTGGAATATCTGTGCAGATACCAAGATAGAAAGAGCCGGTCACACAGAGTATATGTAGTCAATATTGTCCCTTGTTTTGGAATATCTGTGCAGATACCAAGATAGAAAGAGCCGGTCACACAGAGTATATGTAGTCAATATTGTCCCTTGTTTTGGAATATCTGTGCAGATACCAAGATAAAAGAGCGGTCACACAGAGTATATGTAGTCAATACTGTCCCTTGTTTTGAATATCTGTGCAGATACCAAGATAGAAAGAGCCGGTCACACAGAGTATATGTAGTCAATATTGTCCCTTGTTTTGGAATATCTGATACCAAGATAGTCACACAGAGTATATTAGTCAAGTCCCTTGTTTTGGAATATCTGTGCAGATACCAAGATAGAAAGAGCCGGTCACACAGAGTATATGTAGTCAATATCGTCCCTTGTTTTGGAATATCTGTGCAGATACCAAGATAGAAAGAGCCGGTCACACAGAGTATATGTAGTCAATATTGTCCCTTGTTTTGGAATATCTGTGCAGATACCAAGATAGAAAGAGCCGGTCACACAGAGTATATATAGTCAATATTGTCCTTTGTTTTGGAATATCTGTGCAGATACCAAGATAGAAAGAGACGGTCACACAGAGTATATATAGTCAATACTGTCCCTTGTTTTGGAATATCTGTGCAGATACCAAGATAGAAAGAGCCGGTCACACAGAGTATATGTAGTCAATATTGTCCCTTGTTTTGGAATATCTGTGCAGATACCAAGATAGAAAGAGCCTGTCACACAGAGTATATGTAGTCAATATTGTCCCTTGTTTTGGAATATCTGTGCAGATACCAAGATAGAAAGAGCCGGTCACACAGAGTATATGTAGTCAATATTGTCCTTTGTTTTGGAATATCTGTGCAGATACCAAGATAGAAAGAGCCGGTCACACAGAGTATATATAGTCAATACTGTCCCTTGTTTTGGAATATCTGTGCAGATACCAAGATAGAAAGAGACGGTCACACAGAGTATATGTAGTCAATATTGTCCCTTGTTTTGGAATATCTGTGCAGATACCAAGATAGAAAGAGCCGGTCACACAGAGTATATATAGTCAATACTGTCCCTTGTTTTGGAATATCTGTGCAGATGTTATGTTTCTGCTCTCAGCAGATTTACATCCCCTTTATTTTTAAAGGGGAATTCTTGTAATTTTGTTTGGTTTTGGTAAGTGGCATTTGTACAAAAAATATTGTATTTTAAACCCGCTCAGGTTTTTGAAATAAAAGAAACACTTGCAAAAAGAAACAATGTAGGCAACACGACTAAAAGATTACTAATGTTACAGAAATGTGTTATCTGGTTCATAATGTTTGTTTACAAAAAAAAAAAAAAAATGGTGCAATTTTCTCAACATTTCCGATACTCTTACATATTCGCAATACCACTCGATGTCATGTCTGTAATTCCAAATGTTTATCTTTATATGCACCGCAAAAAAAAAGAATTAAAAAAAAAAAAGAAAAGAAACAATGTAGGCAGAGGAGGAACAAAAAAACCAACACTTTTTAGACCATTTTAGAGAACTGATGAGAGAAAATAAATAAATAACTTTTTAGAACATTTTGAGAAATCTCTCTCCTATGCGGAAGTGAAATGCTTCATTATCTCAGTGGTAACAGAGTGACCAGGCTTTTTACTGCCACAGACCAATATCTTTTTCAACCCGTTTAAAAGTACTAGTGGTATATCAATGTCCCTTTAAAGGGTTACTCCGAGCACCATGACCACTTTCAGTGACTTGTAGTGGTCATTGTGCCTGGAATCTATATGTTCAGCGTTTTAACATTAACACTGCATATACGGAGTCTAGCCCCTTGGCTGCTGGAAAAGTAACTCCACCTCCAGCATCATCATGGGGTGTTATCACGCAGCCTGGAACAAGACTTCTGGGTTGGGTAATGCCAATTCTCTGCTAATTGTCATGCACAGAGTGCCATTCAATGGCTGACACTTTCAGCTAATAGTGTGCTGTTGCATAAACAGAAATTATTTAAATGGCAGAGAATTGAGCAGGGAAACTGCACGGGGCATGATCTATACACCATAACTGCTTCATTAAACTAAAGTTTTTTCAATGACTATTGTGTCCCTTTAATTTACCAAAACATTTTTAGATTTTACAAATGGTATCAGACAGCAGGCACTAGACGAAAACTTCCAGAAATACACATAGTTAAGAGAAAGATCTTCCTAAGAGATTCAGTATTGTCAAGCCCTACACAGGTAATACTTTGCTCGTCAATGAAAACCTATGGAATATACACATGATTTACACAAAACAAAGAGAAAGTGTGTTTAGCAACAAACAAGGGTTGGCAAAACATAGACAGTGTAATGAGCAGTATAAAAGTGTGCATTTATTTTTTTAAAATAACACCATACCAATGATGAAACAATTTGACCAAGGAAAGCAAAATTTGAAAAAAATCCTTTATCAAAATGCATTAGTACAATGGTAGCAGGGGTGTAAACAGCTATCACTGTAAATGCACGGGATCCTTAGAGAAAATTTAACAACGACAGTTTACAACTTGCAAAAGCAGACCAGACAATTTTAGATGACCTGCCGCCACATTCTGAATGAGGCTTGTCTTGCAAGATTAAAGCCAGCAAGGACTCTGGAGCCTGCAGGACAGAGCTACTATTCCATGATATCCTAGGCTTCTCCTATTACAGTGAAGCACAGCTCGCACCCCTCTGCAACCAGTGTATGGCTCGGTGACTAAAGAGTGAGCACGGCAAACTAAACAGAAAGTCGCTGCTATTCAGAAAAAAAATTTTTTTTAAATTTGAAGAGTGAGGACCCAGACATACTATAAAAGGTAGGAACAATTTAAAACTGAAAAATAAATAAATGGGGAAATAAATGGTTAAAAAGTCAAATATAAAATAACAGGAAAATGTATTTAAGTGTAATAGTGTTTTATGTGTAATAAAGGATCGTTTCCCTTTTAAAAAATTAAATAAGAATATATTTTTACACTGACTTGTGTAATTACCTTGTGGCCACTGTAAATGTCTTTCTAATCTTAGGCAGATGATGAGTGATGCTATGAAGTAACAAATGTCTCTAGATACATACCCAATTCAAAGACCTTGCAAGCAAGACAGTGATCTCAAAGCAACAACACAGATTAGTAAGATATGGGCAGAACTCCAAAGAGGCACTGCAACTAATGAATACCGGTGCATAAATAGTCTGTGCATCAATAAAAGAGCAGGTACAGAAAACAGTCTTTCATTTCAGGAAAGTAACAGCAATAAATAAAAAGTTTACATTATTTAGAAAAATTGCACGGCTGTACTCACTATTCCTTGGTTTCGCGGTCCCATTCCACCACCATCTTGACGTGAGCAGCTCCACCAATGCCGCAAGATTTCAAAGCCCTGACAGAAGCATACAACAATGCAAAATTTAGGTCAAGATGTGGCACGCAACATTGGAAAAAGTAAAACATGGAGGACCCAAATCTTGGCTACAGGGTTACAGGTACAGACAATGACGGGTAGCGATATTGCCACATGGCTTAAACATTTCACAACCAGACCCATGTTAATGTCTTCATTACAACAAGTAAGGTCTTTTACATCAATCGTGACAAGCCATAAATAGGGTAGCATGGAATAAAAACATTGCATTACCATTAATAATAATAAAAATAAATAAAAGAATGGATACCTTCAGGTTTCTCCTACAGAGGTGCAAGCACAGATGTTTGAGTAAGTGATTTTTTTTCTGCATCTATTACGAGTTTACAATTAACCAGGAGTAAAATTAACAGTTAATGTATTTTCCAGACACTAAGGAGAACTCACTTAAATGCACTGCACTCTGATGTTGATGGATACACTTACACTGGAAAATTACCTTGAATTCTCAAGACAAAAATGCTAAGTAATGCATGTAAATTTTTGCCTTTCTCAAGGTGCAATGCAGTATCTGAAATGTCTATTACTTGAAGTCCCAGACATGGGGACAAGTTCAAATACATAACTATGGCTACAAAACATCCTTCATTTAGGAGAACATAGGTCATTACAGACACATTTGATTGGCTCCTTGCTGTTCTGAGCAAATCAAAACAGAGCTCACTCCGAAATGAAGGTCAGTGAATAGAAAATACACAGATGACAATGACTTATTGACCGCCTCCTATCCACCTGAACGTTCAACCCACACATACGAAAAAGCTTTGTCTTTTAAGCAGTGCGGAGTGTGTGGTGGGTGTTGCATGTCCCACCTGACTTGATATATTACAGGACTCAAAATGTCCATTTACCCACTAACCACTACCAAAAGTTTAATTTAATGGAATCTAGGGAATTGGGAACACTATAGTCATGTGGTCCTGTCACTTTAACCCTGCAATGTAAACCAATTCCATTTTAAGTAATATTTTCAAATGTGTATGTAAAGCATGTGTATGCACAGTGTCCTCTAGCCGTTTAGTTTACCATTCCCTCCCTTCGAGTAGTTTACTTACCTTTTCTCCCATGCCGCGCAGCTCTCTCAGCTGACTTTATATATAAAAAAAAAAACCTGATCTCTGCCAATCAAATGCTTTCCCATCAGAAAATATTAAGAGGCTAGGGAGCATATGCTACAAAACACATGTGCTGTACCAATTAGATGGTATCTGTGAAATAGCTGAGTTTTCCTGTATGGCAGCTACTAGAGGCATTTAAGCATTACCTTTCATGCAGAACACCAATGTTTGCAGTTGCAGGGTTAAAACTACAGGGACAAAGCATCCAGACCACGTCATCTCAATGCCTATTGTGTCCCTTTAACAACTCGTGAAGAATGGCTATTTATATGTACTGATTTTGGCAGACAGGTAGCAAAAAGAAAAAAAAAAAATGAATTAATAATAATTTAAAAAAATTATAATAAAAATAAATAAATGACAATAATAAAATAAAAATATATATATATTATTTATTGTGTTTACCTTTCCACAGTAGGGTGACAAAGAGGCTTCTCTTCCTGAGGCAAGAGGTATGTAATGCCAACGGCCGTAACTACACGTAGACTGAATGGGCAAACCTAAAAATACACAAACAATACATACAGGATTCAGGAACAAAAATGGGAAAATAGGATTTGCTCCTCACCTTTAATTCAATAGTACATAAAATAAAACAGGGATGCGGCAATACATTAAAAAAATAGGATTTGTTTATCATATTATACATGTATACAAACATACACACAGTTATGCATCACTACATGAAGAAAGGTGTCTGCACTTACGGACGTTCAAGTTTGATAGAAATCCCTACTTGTGACTTTCATCAGGATCAACAATAAGTTCATTATGAACAAAAGCAGTGTTTTCTAGGGGATTGACCTACCCCAGGTGCTCCGTATGACCATACTGATCTATTGCAGTGTTATTTTAAGGGCACAGGCACTTTTTACTGTTTAGTGCATACACGTTTTCTTACATGCACTTTTAGCACTTTAATTATTGACCTTACAAGGCACTTTACAATTATGATTTATTTTATGAAGCACTTCGATAGTGTACTTTGATAAGAGTCCTGGTCAGTTTTATGAAACACTCTGGACTACATAAATACACATTTTAAATAGATTTGCGATTTTTTTGTGTCTTTTTTCTAACATAACTTCATCATGTTATGGTAATTTAAGTTTTTTAACTTTGGTTTCCATAGCAACACATCTTGTAAAACACACACACGGCACACTGAGCGGGTTTACGCATACCCACCACGCACAGAGGGACATCGGCGGTCACACGAGTACCTGGGGTAAGTCAATTCCCTCATTACTCTTACCTAGAAAACACTGCTTTTGTGCATAATGATTTTATTATTTATCCTGATGAAGGTAGCAAGTAGGGACTGACAACTCGATCGCTTTTTTCTACATGTGAAATAAAACGAACGTTTTGGAAGTCGGTGAGTGCTGGCACCATTGTGGATCTGACTATTTGTCCTCGTCTGGCACCCTGCTTTAAATAGTGTTGGAGCCCGTGTGCAAGGATGCGGCAAATAGTAAATAAATCAATACACAGACACTGTTGCGCATCACCTGCATATCTCCAGCTGGACTGTGAGGGGTCATAGAAACTTGAGAAATCATGCTTCCACAACTGTCCCAGAGTTCCCAGCTTAAAATGCAAATGAGTAAAAGACAGGCATCGTGTCTCAGGCTTCATACTGCATTTCTGCAGATACCCTTAGCAATGGACACAGTTCTAAACACAGCAGCCTGGGCTCATGGTTACCAATCCTTTTGAATCACAGCACATGCTTGGTTTAAAAAATCTTTGATTAATGCAGGGATTCAAGTTAAATTTAAGCAGTATTTATTTCAATAAAGCGCCCACACATGCTGAAGAGATTTACACAGGCTTAGAAAAAATATTACACAAACAAACTATTCTCAAAAGAGAAGGCGAGGACTGCCCTGCTGAACTAACAATCTAATACAGGGGTGCCTGAAAGACAGATCTCCGGCTTCTTCTGTTAAGATGCATCTCTATGGTAGTAGGAGATCTGCCTTCTTCTCCATCTACTCTGGATCTAGAGGAAATGAGGTATAATTAAATAATGTATCCAGAAAAGATAAGAGAACGCCGGATGTACAGTCTACATCTATCTAAACAGTTTCATAAAAATAAAAATATATGTAAGCTAGTTGTAAAGTAAGGAATGAAAAAGGGTGAACAAAACAGTGAAAGTACTTAAACAGGGTTGGTACTTTACAAAAATATGTTTTTGCCTAATTTATTTAAATGTGTACTTGAAAAGAATGGGCTTAATTAAGATTACACAAACAACAAGATTAGAACGCAGGAATCCTACGAACACATCCCTTTTGGCAGTGAGAGCAGAAGCTCTATAGTGGCACCCACCTGAACACACACAGATGGACGCAAGGAGTACTGCATCTTTTCTAAAATCTCTTTCTGCAGCACATCCCATGTGATATTCCGCTCCAAATGCAGAACAAATGGCTGCCCAAATCTAAGGAGAAAAAAAAAAAAAAGTCAGAAGAAACTTAGAACTACATTGTCACAGACTGGCACGAAGTCTCTAATCCTAATATAATAGGACCACATGAATGACCAGACAGCTACCTTCTGCCATGCTGCCCGCTGTAAGCCCTGTTGCACACCAGAAGAACAACCTTGTCGGTGACAGACAGTCTATTCATAGGAAGTCGAGCAGAGCCAGAAGAATAGTGGGAAGACCTGTGATCTGTCCCATTTCTGATATAGTTCTGGTTGTTATTGACACAGTTTCCTGGGAAAGTAACAAAAAAAAAAACAACATTATGGAGAGAAATGACAAATATTATGATAAATGATCACCGAACTGTGACAAAATATATCTTAAATGTATTTAAACTGCACTAAAGCATTTGATACAGTTCCAAAAAACACCTTATTGTACAAACAGAAAGACCAAATTAAATGGAAATGCTTTTAATTTAATGGGGGGAAAAAATGCTTAAAGACACAGTGCAGGTAGTTGCGATTAATGGAAAATGTTCAAGTTGGACAACGGTAGTACCTTCCCTCTACCACGGTGGCTGTGAGGAAGGAAGTGAGGAGGGAGAGGTGTCAGGAACCATGGGGCCCAAACTTCTACGTTAAATAGTTGGAAAACGGTTTATTACTTTAATTAAAATGGCACCCAGACATACCTGCTGCTATAACAACCTAATACAGCAGAGTTAACTTTCTCCTTTATTCCTAACCACTATCCTTTTTTTTTTCTTTTAAGCTCTAGCCACTCTCTGTTTCTTAACTTCACACTCTGCACTGTCACCCTAACAACTTTAATTCTTACATCATAGACTCACTGCTAAAACCTGATGGTGACCAATCTGACCATCATCCATTAGACTCATTGGAAAGTTGCACAATCAAAGCAACCACTGTCCAGCTGCCAGCCACCCCAGAGACATATCCTGGATCCACTTCTCTCAATTTCTTTTTGGAATTCATGATTTTGAAGGAGGCATTATAGGCCATGTGTCAGGGTGTGAAAATGACAAAATTAGGTAAATAATGGAAAGAAACCTAAATGTGCAAATAATACTCAAAGGGGGTTCATTAGTGAAATGAGTTTGACATTGAACACTCACATAAACTCTGTTGCCTATTATCAGCAGCTGCAAGGGTTAGATAAAGGGAAGCCACCATTTTCTTTACACTAAACACACTTCAAGGTCTCATGGCAAGTGAATTACTGAAAAACAGTGTTCAATGGAAACATGGGTCTGTCCTACCTCTCTGGCTTAAAATTCCTTCAGACGGGAAGATTTCTGGAGTCTCAAAAGCAAATATGCAATCACTCTCATGGACGGTATCCAAATCATCTGTGTCGGAGAACGAACGATGGAACCCATCAAAATACATTTCAGTGATTACTATCTGGAGAACAAGGACAAGACACAGAAAGTCATGTAGATAGAGGTGTATATATAACGCAGCACAGGTCTGCAAACACATGACAAACTCTTTTAATCATTTAATAGTAGTATTACCAATCAATGGCCAACCAAGTCTGACAGCTATGGCTCATAACGAGAGTATAGAGTGGGAAGATTACGCTGAATGTTAAAGTACAAACGGAACTTACAACCCTATAACGCACAGTTCAAGTGTTACTATGAACTGTGCAATATGCCATATTGGACATTATCGAGAAGATCCCCCAATTTTGACTGTAGTATAATATGCAAAAAAAGCAAACAAAAAAAAACCCCTATTATCTGGAATCCAGCGCTGGGCATAACGCCCGGCGCTGATATTCCATGCCCACTCTGATGTCACTGGGACTTTGCGTGGTCCAATCACATTCTTCTCATAGAGAAGCCAGTGGGTGGGAGAGTTAACAAAAAAAACAAACAAAAAAAAAAAAAACTAAAAACAACTCAACAAACAATATTCAATGGAGATAGGCACAAGGGAGCACAATATGGGTGGGGAGAGCAATCTTTCCCTTGTAGTGCATGCTAACGACAGACGTATAATTGACATAAGGCAGCCCAAGACAGTTCCAGGCTGCCCATGTCATGTGTGTTGGAGGTGCAACAAGCTCCCAGCACACTATTACAATTATCTTAGTATGTGCAGCGTTTCTAAGCTAAAATACTGAACATACTAACTCCTACCACCATGACAACTTCAGATCACTGCAGTGGTCATGGTGGCTGGAGAAACCCTTTAAACAGCCCTTCTTTTGAAATGCTGACCAATCAAATCAAAGGCACTCATTTTTAATCCCTGCCACTATGGGTGAGACTTGGAAATTGTCAGTAGAATACTTATTTCTGTTCCATTTCCACGGTGATTGCCATACTGTTCAAACAATGCCACGCAGTTCAGCTAACAAAGTTCTAATAAAACTCTCCCGTTATTTGAAAAAAATTATTTGTAATACCTAGATAGTCTCGGGTGGTAATTAAAGCTCATTTTACTGTAACTTGGTTGGAGGAAGTTTATCCGTTAGTAATATTGTTAAAAACTGGATTGATGTAAATAAGTATTGGGATGATGAAACCATTTTACATTTCTGCATTATGAGAAAGTGTTAGGCTGACAATCAAGTTTCAAGTTTTGCCATTGTAGAATTTGAGACAACGGTCATGGCAGATTAAGTCATACTCACCTGGTCAGTGGGAATTTTGGTCTCCATTGAAATAGCTTCCCTCAACCTCACCACATTTCCAGACAAGGGGACAGCAACTCCAATACGCATACAATGAGAACATTTTCCCTGGTAAACCACAGTCACATACAAAGGCCTGAGAACCAAGAAAGATCACATGGAAAGTTATTCAAAAACGCAAAACAGCGCACGCCCACATTAAACTACGTGAAATATAAAGCAGCTCAAGGTGTTTGTGGCAAAATCAAATCTGTATGAAAGTAAAGATAAAGGTGGACTAAATATTTCCTTAGGTCGGTGGTACGAGGGTCTATATTCTGCTGAGCGGAGACATCACATGGTCGGTTTAAGGTCTTTAAATAGGAGCTTGGTAAATTAACAAAACCAAGGACGCCACAGCAATAGAAAATTGGGAATCGATACCCAGAGCATGTATCCCTGCCAGAATATACTATGAGAATATCCAGGGTGTCACGGTTAGACATCACTGTCCTAGATAACAATATAGAAGTGCTTGGTCTCTTGAGAGTACATATTAGTGCGTGACTTACATTCACACTTAGAAACACTTCCAAAAGAAACAGATAGTCAACATGTGTCATCTATCAGGTGTAAATTCGATTGACAGTGGGTCAATGCATTTGTTTATGGATCACCAGAAATCAAGAATGATTTTAAATTGTAACGCAATTAGCAGAGTCTCACTGAGAAATGCACGGATACAGAGGTTGGTTATCTCTGCGGACTATGCAGGAGATAAACATTTGAGTATGAGGTGTAGTTAAGTGCAGGTGGGGAAAAGGTTACAATTTGTTTATATATATATTTTTTTTTTTTTTGCATTTTAGCAATTTGGATATACAGGTTATAAGTGACTTCACAAGCGACTAGTTTTTGGCCGATTAAATGTTGACCTTATTGTGTGATGTTCACAGAAAATACATTCAGGAGTGAACGATAGAAAACGACTGCTGGTGCAAATCAACATGTTCAATGTTCTTAAAATATGGCAAATTTGGAATAATGACCAACAAATGTGTCGCAAGAGAAATTTGGAATAATGAATGTCATAAGCAAACATTCCTTTTATTTTTATACAAAATTAAATAGATCTAGTAACTATTCTAAAAATATATTGTTATAACTTGTAAATTGTTTTGCACACATTCTGACATTTTAAAGCATTTCTTACTCTTTTGTTATTTCTTATTGTGATTTTCATTTTATTTGTAAAATAACACTGGAATTCGATATTAAACACAAATCTGGTATAAAGAAGGGGGGAGTAAGTTGGTTAAGCATTCAAGCATGTTCTTACCGTGTATAAGGCAAAGGGATGGGCAAAGAGATGCAGAGAAAAGGGTCGAAGGTGTTACTCTGTTTTTGACAGTGAGGACATGTCAAGGAGGACCTACAAAGGAAAGATGGGAAAAGGACACAGAGTTAGCAAAAAGACAACATTACAATACAAAGGTTTGGAAGGAAAGGAGTAAAAATGATTAAAAAAAGAGACACTTCAGGTACCAAAAGTGCAAGAATTCATCTGACATAGCATCACGCAGATACCGTCCATATGCATGGTATTTGCTGCTTGTTCACTAGAAGAAAGCACTGGTTATGGGTAACTTTCTGCTTTCTGAGTTAGGGTCCACCCGTCTTTTTAAGTTTGAAAAATAAATAATTTAAAAAAAAATTGGAAACCCTACTTGGTTTTTAGAGCAGATCGAAGTTCTCCTGGAATCTGACCATCCTTGTATTACATCACTAGCCCTCACTGGGTGGGGAGGATAATCAAGGAGGACAGGGAGAGCACCGAAAGGGAGTATGGTCATTCCGCTTTTGGCTGTCTGGCACCAGACACCAATTTTCCACGGAATTTACATTAGCCAGCCCAGATATTTTGTTAATGACGCTCCCGGAGGTGGAGTTACCAAGTGTAACGCTGCACATACAGACTCTAGGCCGCCTAACCCTTCAAATCAATTAAGTAGTCATGGTGCTTGGAATAGGCACATTCCAGAAGCACAAAAACAGACATAACAAGTTTGCAGGAATTAGGTAGTTTACCTGTACTGGGCCTGGAAAAGTTCCTGGACAAATGTGCCACTTGTTGGAAAGGTCGGCCCTTCCCCAGTCAGATCTTCATCCAACGGTGGCTGCAGTGAGAAAGATTGGTCAGTAAAGAAAAGCAAATACAACTATACGGGCCTCCTCCCAGACAGCTGAGCCATACCATTTATCTCCCTGTAAACAAATCACTTTTTATATTAATCTCTTTCGTAACTTTGTTTTCCTGCATATCTTGAATTAGCTCAGCAGATCAGCTGATGCTCTCAGGCATAAGCTAGCCCTGCCCTCTGTGGGGAGTAGTAGAGGTTTGGAACAGTGTCTGGTGGACCTCAGGTAAGAATTCACACCATTCTAAAATGGCACTCCTGGTACCATTACTTCTTAAGCATGCGGAGGTGGTAAAGGTGCTTGGAGTGTTCGTTTACGCATGGGTTTATACTATAGCTATTTCATAAGAAATCCATAGCTGAAAAATGGTCCTGAATATAAGATTTAACACACACAGAGTTGTTTACCAAAGTGTGAGTTATTGGGAATTAAACATGAATTTCAATTCATAGAACAAAATAACTGAATTGGAAAATACGCCAAGTCTCTTCAGTCTTGCTATTTTTGCCTCATATTTGGAATTCATTTTACATTCCTTACAATTCACACTTTAGTGAATAACTTTGACAGTGTTTTATTTTCCAAAAGTAACAACCATGTGCATGAGTATGCCTTTAGTTGGATAGTCTAAGCATCAAAACAACTTTAGCCTAATGAACTGGTTTGGTGTATAGATCATGGCTTGCAGTAACACTGCTCAGACCTGCTTCGTTAAGCTCAAGTTACAGTGGTGCTTAGAGTGTCTCGAACTCCAAATCTACATATATCAAATTCATAAAATTAACCAAGAAAATAAAAGGCATTAATGAGGGGGAAAACATTGACAAAAATTAGCAAAGATTTCTGCATAAACAATGCCATAATTGTATTAAATATAATATTGTTACCATATGAAAAATGGAGAAGGATGGGTGCTGAACTCCCCTACAAGAGGCACATGTCACATAAAGCTAAAATGAGCAAGTGAAAACCGAGAAACTTTAACTTTGTAAAAACAAGCCAAACCAACACCTGGGAACATTGCTTAAAGGACCACCACCTAAGGCTCCCAGACCACTTCATCTCAATGAAATGGTCTGGGGGCACACGCCGCTCCTTAATCATGCATTTGAAAACATTGCCATTATGCATGCAAAGTCATAGGCGTGCGCAGCCTATTGCATTAGGGTGTGCACCCTAAAGCACAAACACACGCCGCGTGTATATGTATGTGTGTGTGTATATATATATATATATATATATACACATACACACACACACATATACACACACTGCTCTGTGTGTGTGTGTGTGTGTGTTCTGTGTGAGGGGGCTGTTTGATGTTTGTGTGAGGGTGCTGTTTGTGTGCTGTGTGTGTTTGTTAGGGTCCTGTTAGTGTGCTGTGTGTGTGAGGGTGCTGTGTGTGTGTGGGTGGGTGCTGTATGGGTGTGGGTGCTGTGTGTGTGTGCTGTATGTGTGGGTGTGTGGGGGTACATTACTTAATATCCCCCCTCCCTTATTACCTTATGTAGGGAGGGGGAATCGTTCTGCTGCCATCCCTGGTAGTCCAGTGGAGAGTGAACTCTAGGCTGCGGGGCTAGAGTTCACTTTCGCGAGATCTGAGCGTTGCCGCGGCAACGCTCCGACCTCGCGAGAGGAACCCGGCGGAGCTGCTGGTTGAGCTCCCCGGGTCCTCTCCTGCCTGCCTCCATGCTGCAGTGGGGAGGGAGGCTTAGAGCAAAGCCGGCTCTGCATGAGCCGACAGGGGAGATCCTGAGATCTCCCCTGCCGGTCTCACTCCAGAGGCGTGCCGCGGGGATTAGGGTGTGCCCAGACACACCCCGTGCGCACACCTATGTGCAAAGTGTTGATACACCCCTGGGTTAGTAAATTGGAGTGTACGGTTGCATGTTTTACTCTTTGGTTTAATGATCACTATTAAAACCCAAAGCACATTTTTGGAAGATTTTTCTTTGAAAGAATGATGAAGTTGTTACATGTGCCTTGTAAATTACAAATACAGATGGATACCCTAGTCGTATGAGGTAGATCTAGAACCAAGACAGTGTATATACAGAGCGCTTTTCATTCAAGTGTGAATTGCCAGGAAATCTCATCAGAAATTTGTGACAAATATTTAAGCAAAATTCAAAGTTTAGGCCAAAGTCGCTAAACTGAAAACGTAGCCAACCTGGAGAATTTTTCCAGTTTGATGACATTGGCATAAACCCTGAAAATAGGGTCGCAGTGACTTGCTAGCATGCGTACAGGAGCAACGTACCCGAGGTTTGGGCTTGACAACAAGATTCAGATCTTCATGAACTCTGTCCAAAAGCCAGAGAAGGAATTCCTGGGCATCGTGCTGAGAAGTGCCTCGATACTGGAGAGCATTGCGTGATACAATGGCCTAAGAGGATAACAAAAAAATGAGAAAGTTTAACAGTCAACAGTAACAGCAATTCAATTATACAGTCAATAGTGACAGCAATTATACAAAAGAACAATCAACACTTAACGGGACTCAAGCAGCCTTCCACATGGCTTACTGATTCACACTTCCAGCACGCACCTTTTATACATCCGATGTACACACCAAGTTATTAAAGCAGCATTTAGCACTTCTGGTGATATTTCAGCTAGGCACCAAAAAAAGATTGTGGTAGCACCAAACAAGATAAAACTCAAATAGAAAATTATTGTTAAGCATTACCTGCATATCTCATGTTGGACTTTTAGAAGTCCTCCTTGGGCGCAGACATTATGTTTCAGGCAGGTGTTGTATTTCAAACTTCCCTTAGCAAGCAATGAATACTGTTTCAAACATAGGTATTTCCAAAAATACTTATTTATGATTGTTCATAAAGATAGAATCTGTTTTTAAAATATATTTAGTGGATACTGACAGAAGTAATAGGTGCCAATTCTGGCAAAGGAATGAGAAGAGAGAAAAGCGGTTGGTGTAAAAGTAGGAGAGCTTTGGGTATGTGTCGGTCTCTCCCCTTGCCCTTCTTCCTATCAGGTGCCACCATGCAAGTGGATTTATTACCTGGATATGTCTGCAAAAAGAAAAAAAAATGAAGAACTCCACAAGTGGCAGAGCCGCTTTAAAGGACAGCTTAATGAAGTGGTCTGGGTGCCAGGTCCAGCTAGGTTTAACCCTTTTTGCTGTAAACATAGCAGTTTCAGAGAAACTGCTATGTTTACCTATGGGTTAATCCAGCCTCTAGTGGCCGTCTCATTGACAGCCGCTAGAGGCGCCTCCACGCTTCTCACTTTGATTTTCACAGTGAGAAGACGCCAGCGTCCATATTAAAGCATTGAGAATGCTTTCCTATGAGACTGGCTGAATGCGCGCGTGGCTCTTGAATGAGGAGGAGAGTACCAGCGCCGAGGGAGCCCGGCGTTGAAAAAAAGGTAAGGGATTAACCCCTTCCTCCCCCTTCAGCGCCACCGGACTGGGACCCTGAGGGTGGGGGCACCTTGAGGGCACTATAGTGGTCCTTTAAGAAACCTGATGGCTGGCTCAAACTTGCATCATGCTGTGTTTTTGCAAGTTTATGAAAAATCAATGCTAGCCATGCTTCAGCTTAAAAATCCGCTAAAGTTAGCTGCTATTAGCCATGTTTTAGACATTGCAGTACATAGAGCAAAGAACCAAATTCATTTCCTTAGAGAAGGAAAACACTTATTGTAAAACAAGAAGTTCTAATTTTTACACATTAAATATGCAGTAAAGGTGGACTCTCAGTCTCTAAACTGCAACTCGGAGCTAGTTAGTTCCGTTACAATATTTTTTAATTCTATAATATGGTAAAATAAAAAATAAATCACACTAGTTACTAGTTATCCACATGGTGGTTTTAAACAAAAATAAAACTGCACTTTTTCATACATATTTATTATAATGCAACTTGAATCATTAAAACCTCCCTAAAAACAGTGACAGCGATTGGCTTCGTAAATGTAATCTCCGTGTTCTAGCAACAATTGCCATCTCATAATGAGATACTTTTAGGGTGTATCGTATAATTGAACTTTGTGCATAACACATTAATCATATTTCATGACTTGGAAATCACAGAAACTGTGTGTTTAAGAGACATTTCCCATAAGGCTTCGCGTGGAGTTGAATAGCTGGTGGCAGAATAACTAGATCAAACTAGGAAGAGTCCAAAAATGGACAACTGTTTCCATGACAACTGTGTTCTACCCATCTTTCGTATGCGACTTGAAAAGAACGTAAGAATGTTTGCTGAAGGTATAATTGGTGGGTTTCAGCATTTAATGAAAGAAAGGGTGTCTGCCTGTCAGGTCCTTTACAGCAACACACACAAACCGCAGGCCCAATGGATGTTACACTTTATTGATACAAGGTGCTATGTGCTTTACAGGCTGCATTTGAAGAAGAAAAAAATGTATATATAATTTTTTTATTATTATTATTTCCCCACCTCCCCAACACAGTCTATAAAGTATATATTATAAAACACTGGATTTATTTTTAGGTTAGTCCAGAGCTTTCCACACTTCATGTTGGTAACACACTTTTTACACATGCATCATTTCACGACACAGCGGCGGTTGAGACGGTGATCTATTTTTTGAACACGTCACTTTAGTTGTGACCGCGTCACAATATGTACATGTATGATCTCTTGATCGACTCTCTAACACTCTGGCCCTTATTCACAATATAGCAATTTAACATACCCAGCCCAAGTTAGCACTTCTCACCTTAAAGGGATTCTCCAGTGCCAGGAAAACAAACCAGTTTCTCTGGCACTAGAGAATCCTGGAGTGCCCCCCTCCTCCCGCCCCCCCATCCCTATAAAACCCCTTCAGCTACTTACCTGAATCCAGCGTGGATGTCCTGGGCGCTGGATGAGGCTCTGCCCACACTCTTCCCCCGCAGTCAGCCGGCGGAGGAGACCTAATGCGCAGGTGCAGCAATGGCCTCGCACGAATTAGACTTCCCCATAGGAAAGTATTATTTAATGCTTTCCTATGGGAAATATCTGACGCTGGAGGTCTGTGAGGAAGTCCAGCATCAGATAACAGACCAAAAATCCATTACGAATCCGGAAGTGCCCCCAGTGGCTGTCTGTTAGACTAAGTGCAAAAGGGACACAGCACCCAGACTACTTCAATTAGCTGAAGTTGTCTGGGTGCCTACAGTGTTCCGTTAATTACCGTTGCTGGCTGCTGTGGCTGGCAGGCTGATGTGCCTGTTTAGCTTCTGTAGCTGGAAAACTTGTTTCTTGCCCTAGCCCCTTTGTGTGTCGGTTTTCCCCCCAATCCCCTTGTGTGCCTCTTTTTCCCCTCCCCCTCTGTGTGTCTCTTTGTGCCCCTAGTCTTTTCTGTGAGTTCCCCCCCCCCAACCCTTTCAGTGCATCTCTTTGTGCCCACCAGCCCATGTCTTTCCCCCATGTCTCTTTGTGCCCCCTCCGCTTCATTGCTCTTCTTCTATCCCCCCTTTCATGCCCCCTCCCCTCCCGTGCCCTTCTTTGGTCCCACTCCCCTCCTGTGCCTGCTTGGCTTCACCTCCCTCCATGTAGTATGGTTGCGTATTATTATTACTGGTATTTATATAGCACCAGCGAATTCCGTAGTGCTTTACAATGTTATCAAATGGGGAGATTTAACAATAAATGAGACAATTACAAAAACTTACAGGAACAATAGGTTGAAAAGGGCCCTGCTCAAACGAGCTTACAGTCTATAGGAGGTGGGGCGTAAAACCAAACAGGACAAGAGGTAGCAATCAAACAAGGTGGAGTGAAGCAGAGCTGGAGGAGATAATAGAGTGCTGCCCTTTAGGAGAGGGCAAGGGACAGGTATGTGAGGTAGAGGTTACTCTGGGAGACCATAAGCTTTCCTAAAGAGATGGGTTTTGAGACACTTTTCAAATGATTGAAGACTAGGGGAGAGTCTGATGGTAGTAGGCAGGCTATTCCAAAGGAAAGGAGCCACCCGCGAGAAATCCTGCAAGCATGAGTTTGATGTACGGGTGCGAGCAGCAGACAGGAGAAGGTCATAGGCAGAGCGGAGTGACCAAGGAGGGGCGGATCAGTGAAAAAATATAGGAGGGGCTAGAATTGGTCAGTGCTTTATAGGTGTGGATTAGTAACTTCAATTGACTCCTATAGAATACAGGAAGCCAATGTAAGGACTGACAGAGGGAAGAGGTGTGAGAGGAGCGATAAGAGAGGAAAATCATTCTAGCTGCAGCATTCATTACAGTCTGTAGAGGGGGAATACGACTTGTGGGAAGACCTATGAGGAGAGAGTTAAAATAATCCATGCGAGAGATTACTAGAGTATGGACAAGCTCCTTAGTAGCATCTTGCGTAAGAAAGGGGCAGATGTGGGCTATATTTTTAAGGTGGGATCTACAGGATTTGGTAACAGACTGGATGTAATGCCAGAATCAAGTATAACGCCAAGACAGCACGCTTGCAAGGATGGACTGATGTAGGTACTACTCACTTTAAAGGAGAGCGAAAGAGGGGGATCAGTATTAGGAGGAAAGACAAGGAGTTCAGTTTTAGAGAGATTGAGTTTCAAAAAGCAGGAGGACATCCAATCAGAGATGGAAGAAAGGCAAGCAGTGAAACGTTGCAGGACGGCAGGGGAGAGGTATATCAGTATACAGGTGTGGTATTGGAATCCAAATGAGGTAATAGGTTTGCCAAGCAAGGCAGTATAAAGAGAAAATGGAAGGGGACCAAGTACAGAGACTTGGACTCAAACAGAGACAGGATGAAGGGAGAGGGTATCATTAGAAAAGGAGACACTGAATGAGCGTTGGGAGACATAGGAGGAAAACCAAGAGAGGACAGTGTCACAGAGACCGAGTGATTGAAGAGTTTGGAGAAGAAGAACATAGTCAACAGTGTCAAAGGCAGCAGAGAGGTCAAGAAAAATTAGTATTGAGTAGTGCCCTTTGGATTTAGCTGCGATTTAATTGTTAGTTACTTTAATAAGAGCAGTCTCAGTAGAGTGGAGGGGGCGGAAGCCAAACTGAAGAGGGTCAAGGAGAGCGTTGGAATTAAGGAAGCAAGTCAGACGGGTAAAGACAAGTCTTAACAGAAGCTTTCAGGAAGAAGGAAGCAGGGATATGATACAATAGAGGATGGGTCAAAATTAGTTTTTTCTTGTTTTTGTTTTTTAAAGATGGTTACTACAGTAGCATGTTTAAGGGCAGCTGGGACAACACCAGAAGAGAGAGTAGTTGAAGATGTTTGTTAAGGAAGGCACAAAACAAGAGGAGAGAGATCTGATAAGGTGAGATGGGATAGGATCAAGTGGGCAAGTGGTGGGTCGAGAGGAAAGGAGAAGCGTAGCCACCTTTTGTTCAGTAGCCTGGGAGAAAGTCTGAGGAGTAGGAAAGGCACGACCTTGGTGTTGTTGAGAAAGAGAGGGGCAAGGTGGGGAGAATTATTTCCTTAGCTGTTCAATCTTGTTAGTAAAGTAGCATGCAAAGCTATAGGCTGTAAGGTTAGTTTGGTGGTTGGCCACGGCAGGGCAAAGAAGGGAGTTAAATGTATTAAAAAGACGCCTGGGATTGCGGGAGCATGGGCTTATGAGGGAGGAAAAGTATGACTGTTTGGCAAGGGCAAGGGCTGTACTGTATGAACGCAACATGAATTTGTAGTTGAGAAAGTCAGACTGGATGCGTGACTTCCTCCAGCAGAACGGAAGCATCTCTGCAGGTAGCGTGTTTATTTAGTATGCCACGGTTGGGGGCACTGCGGTAGAAGAGATTCTGTTTCCCCTACACGATCTGACAGGAAGCAGTTCTGTGCTCTCAATGAGCACTTCCTGTCAGACATGGTAGGGGAACAGAAGCTTATCTACCGCGGCCCGCCTGCTTGCACATGCTACATTTATAAAATATTTTACCAGGAAAGATACATTGAGATTTCTCTCGTTTTCAAGTATGTCCTGGGTACATGGAGTAACCTGCAGGAGGGGAGTGCTGTGCAATGCGTTCCCCTTTTGGTCGGACACCTTATTTGCATGACACACCTAGACTGTTCCGCCAACACTCAATGTGTCACGAAAAAAAAAAAAATTTAAAAAAAAAATCACAAAACCTCTGAGGGCCAAAACTACTAACTCTTAACAAAATAGAAATTTTATAATTAAAGGGAGTCATACAGAGTTTTGTTTTATTAATTCTGATGCAGGAACAAGAAGAAAACAATAATTATGTACACCTATGTTACTGACACTACAATATTGAGTATGTGAAAAACAAATACCAGCTATATCATAGCTCCATTTCCTTGACTCTGTGGCTTGAGTTATAGACGTCTGTGATGATCAGTGTGCACAAGCATTGGCGTGACCCCTTTAGTGTGACCCTCTGCCATCAAAGAAAAAGGTAAGTAAACAAGCTACGTTTATTAATAAAATGCTATGCAGGTGTCAGGATCCCTGGGATGTGAAGAAAATTATGACTAGCATCACTGGTCCCATTGATAATGTTTTGCCTACAATGTCTTTTTAAATAGTGCAGTATCGAGCCACTAGTCATCATGTTTGCTAAAGTCTGGGTTGCTCCCCTGAAGTGAGATCCGTCTAGCCCAGAGAATAAGGGACAACATTTATTTAGAAATAACCCAAATCTGAAATCTTGTCTTCATAATCACATACATATTTTGATCCTCTAGACTGTATGCAGACTTCCGTTGAGACACATTAAAACAAAAATCAATAATGGAAGCAGCAATAAACAGTCCCTAATGAAAAAGCCTTTTAAAAACACTATTTATATGAAAAGTTTCACTTTGAAGGAATTATTACTGTGATTACTGGCTGAGAGAGCTGGGAGAACTCAGCACTCTCGGCCAAAGGTATTCAGTTGGGACAAAATTTGACACCGAGAATACACAAATGTGAATTTCACATTATCAATGCAGCGGAGTAGGGGGAAATCTTTGGCTAAGAGAGCCATGTTTTTTGTGTACTCACTTAAACTGCTGAAAACAAAAGTGGTAAACAGTGCCCAGAGACTCTCAGCAACAAAAAAACTAGATAATGCAGTATTGATTTAAGAGACACTCCTACCCCTAAAGCACTTAAGTTAGCTGAAATGCTTTATGTGTGAATAGGGTGTTATCTTTCATTTTACCAAAAAAGTGTGGATTTCAATAGAAATTAGCACTTTTATAAATTAACCTGGTTACACCCTCTGGCCGTCAATCAGATAACAGATCCTGTGATTTCATTCAGTTGCACTGGGAGGACTGTGATTGGACAGCGACAGAAAATCTTGGCTGGGGAAGAAGGGTGGGGCTTGCAAAAGCTACAAATATAATTATATGCATGCATGTTTTTACTGGAGATATATATCAACTAAACATTGATTTTGATCCTATTTCAGGAGGAAGGATGGGGGTGGGATTTGGGCAGTGCACTGTCCCTTAAAGTAACAAGTGAGGAATATCAAAAAAATATATCACATATACAAATATATCAATATCACGTGGGCCATAGATGGTGGGATGCAAGTACGATGGATGGTTAATCTCACTTTTCTACAGGGTCAAGCAAAACTAATTACTGATTTACGGAACTTAAATAGCATTTTTCATTTATGTTTTACATTTACAGCAAACTATAGTCAGAGGTTTTATAGTAAAAAGCCAAAGACAGAGGGGGGAAAACAAACACAAAAATAGCCTTTATTATCTAAAGATTGATCTATTTAGCAGACCATCAGTACTGTATTTACTTTGTTTGAAAGTTACAGAGACTAGCTAATGTTATTCCCTTGTACTTTCTCTCCTTCCAAAGGTCACTGCTTTGTTTAAACTCATTAAAACAATCAAAGAACATTTCCGGACAATCTATTTTTGAAGAAGTTGAACAAATCAAAGCTGTTTTAATCCCAATCAGCCAACATCAAGACAGTGACCTCAGCCTCGTGAAGTACTCTTCAGACTTTTAGTCTGTATAAACCGTATTTTAAATGGTGCCAATCAATGAAAGATGAGGCAAAAAAAAAAAAATGTATTACATCCATTACATTAAACAAGATGGTACATGAAGGAATAAGAGTATGCTGTTAAGTGGAACAATCACCTTCGAGCACTTCCAATCCCAAAGGCTAACTAGACCCTAGCTATAAACTGCAGTATTTTTTTATTCTCTAGTGACAAACTGCTTTTTTATTTATTTGGCTTTTATTGAAACTTACAAAGTTCTGACACATGCTGTGTATGTAGGCCCATTAATACGCATACAGCATCATGGTAGGAATATCTAAATGTCCATAAGCATATGGCATTGCGTTGCAAGGGAAGGAACTTTAGGGGCAAACACTCCAGATGCGCTAATCCTGCAATATTGCCCGCTGAGTCACCTTGTAGCCCAGTCACCACATTTCAGAAAAAAATGCCAGGATCTTTCTCACCATGGTCTGATAATCATAGGACACGGTTATTTATTTAGGTGTCTGTGCGGAGAATATATCTGATATTAACATTATTGCAGAACAAAGGACTTTCAGTAATACATTTCTGCAGTTTAAATGTATTAACGTGACAGGAGGGGATATGAAATTATCATCTGGGGACGACCCAGCCTCTTTCCTGTCTCCCAGAAGCAACACTTAAATACAAATTCAAACAGAGTCTGGACTATGACCCAGTTACGTCAACTCTTTTACAATAAAACACTTCTATACAACACCACCTCCCCTTGTCTGCCCACCTTATTTCTTGTTTCTAATCAACCTTGTTTCTATTCTATACTTTACTTATATTATACTGTATTCCCCAGATTTAATACATAGTGATTCTGTATTCTATCTATTCATACCCACTGTGTACAGTATATTGGCTCAATAGTGGATACATTTCTGTTACTTCTCAATTGTATTTTCTCCCAACAACCTTTTGTCTAAGCCATGGGTTGTCAACCTGGTCTGTACCGCCCACTAGTGGGCGTTTCAGGATTCCAGGTGGGCGGTAGGGATTTTGGCGGCTAAATCCTCTTTTTGAGAGGATTTCTCCTTTTTAGAGTGGGCGAGCGGCTTGGGGATGCAAGATTTCAGTGACCGGCAGGAGGTTAGCACTGCCTCCTGCCGGGCCACCTTCTGGACCCCCCGGCACGGCAGAGTTCTAATCCAAGAAGGCGAGGGAGCTCTAACCTCTCTGCTCCCTCGCACGATGTTTGAAGATGCCGCGGGAGCCGGAAAATGATGTCATATTCCGGCTCCTGGCATCAGTAGACAACCCGCGAGGGAGCAGAGCAGAGAGGTTAGAGCTCCCTCGCTGCCTCGGATTAGAACTCTGTCGTCCGCCGAAGTGAAGCCCCACTGGACCCCAGGGACAGATCCACACCAGCTCTCCAGGTAGGGAGGCTGGGTGTACATTTAATATTAATAATTTGTGTGTCTGTAAGTATATGTGTGTGTATGTGTGAGTGTGTGTGTGTATCTTTGTCTGTGTGTAAGTGTTTCTCTATGAGTGAGTGTGTGTCTGTAAGTGTGAGTGTGTCTGTAAGTGTATGTGAGTGTATGTGTTTGTCTGTGAGTGTGTGTGTATGTCTAAGTATATGTGTGAGTGTGTGTATGTGTTTCTCTGTGAGTGTGTGTGTGTGTGTATGTCTGTGAGCAGAGTATTAAGAATAGGAGAAAGAAAGAGCAGAGTACTTGTAAAAAGGAGAAAGAAGGAATAGAGTACTTGTAAAAAAGGAGAAAGAAGGAAAAGGACAGAATTGTTGGCTAATAATAGTAAGTGGGCTACCTAGCTCAGCCGTTCTACTGGGCATTGCTATAAGGAAGGTTAAAAAATAGAGGATGGGGATGGGAATTGAGGAGGGGAGCTGATGCACAGATGAGAAATCATATGAGCAAACAGAAATGGTCTGAATATCAATGAAAGAGGAGACCTTTGTTTGTTCCTTACGAAAATCGAATCAGATATCAAATATTTAGTCTCGCAGCATCAACCTCAAGGATCTCATTAATCACTAGTTAAAGGTAATTTCAATTTACTTTGTTTTCTCATTAAACTTTATAAAGTTAAAAACATTATAAACATGCATAAAGTAGAAATAAAAAGATAAATGTCCTTTTTTTTTTTTTTTAAAAAACACCCTCCTTTCTAAAAAATATTCTGCACTTGTGCAAAAACTGGTGGGCGGTAAGGACATTTTTCGATCAAGAAAGATGCATTAGTGGGCGGTAGGTAGAGAAAGGTTGACTACCACGGGTCTAAACGTTCAATTTCCCTCTAGATTGTAAGCTCACAGGTAGGGTTCCCTTCTTTTCAGTATCTAAATCACATATCCCTTGTTTGTATTATATAATGGTATTTTTGCATTGCTTCTAATGTGCTCTAGATAACAGAGCTATCTAAAAATTGTTAAAATAAACCAGTCATATTGCCTGCCTTGCCATTAAAATGTAAAAGGATACTATGGTCATCAGAACAACTACAGCTTAATGTAGTTGTTCTTGTGTCTATGGCCTGCAGGGACAGGCTATAGACAAGAGAAAAAGCAGGGTTGACATTACTAGCTGTGAACATCCCTAGTGACACTCACTCAAACTGCCATTAGAGGGCTTCCTGGGTCAGTGCTACACATGACGTTCAGCATCTCCACATTCTCCATTGAGGCGCTAAACATTCCTTATATAGATGCACTGTTTTAATTCATGTCAATTGAGGAGATGCTGATTGAAGCAGCGCAGCGTTTTGCTGAGCATGTGCAATAGCCACCCAATGATTTTCTATGGGAAAGTACTGGATTGGCTGAGATCATCAAGATTGATGAACTCTATTAAGGTGGCGGAGCATAGGCAGGGCCAGCCGTTATGAAGTAAAATCACCTTTTACTTAGCTGATGGGGGACTGGTAAACGAATAAATGTTTTCATAATTATAGTGACAGGAATACATGTTTGTTCCTTTAAATTAAAATAGCCAAATAGCTTTTTAAAACATAACCAATAAAATATATATTAAAGACGAATACAAATTAAACCAATAAAATGTGATCAGAATCATTAAAAAAAATACAACGAAGATATAACTTAAGTTTAGTTTGCATAAAAGAGCACATTTCAGGAAATTCAGATACTGTACAAGTAAAATGAATGTTCGGTAGGAACTACATTTAAGTTTATTGCTCCAGGAAGTCCACATATTTTTGGCATCATTTTATTTGTGCATGTGCAAGAATCAGTATGACCAGGTAAGAGGGCAAACCATTTCAGTTCAGGGTTCTCCTACCATTATAACCACTACATCGGGCTTGCTTTACTCTTTAAAGGGACACTCGCTTAAGTGGTCCGGGTGCAATTTCCCGTTCCCCCCTTAGTCCTGAAAGGTAAAACATTGCAGTTTTAGACAAAAACTGCAATGTTTACACTGCAAGAAAGCCTCTAGTGGCAGTGTACCACACATACACTAGAGGAAATTCCGGGAGTTTACCGGACTCCAGGTCCCCTAAATGACTATGGACGTCCTCAAGCTCTGCAAGAGGACATCAAGTGTCAGTGAAAACCCCATAGAAACATAGAATGTGACGGCAGAACCATGCAGCCAATCTAGTCTGCCCATAGGAAAGCGTAATGCGCTATCAACGTTCATCACGCATGTGCATTAGGACCCCCTGTTGGAAGATGTTGAGGAGACGGAGCGGTGACCCAGCATCAAAGGACAAAGGCACTGGAATAGGCGAGGATTCTAGCAAACCTAGTACTAATGTTTCTATGTGCTTTGAAAAGGAAACACAAGGCAGAATTGTTATAAAAAAAACATCATCTCTCTTAGCAGAAACTGCTAATCATGTTTTTCTGGTTTTAATACTTGATCCAACATGTTTCTTTCAGCATGGTATATCCATCACAAGCATTTGGTTAACATTTCGTAAAGTTCCACAGTACAATAGGCAAAAGTTAGATCTTATTTCATTCCAAGTAAATATTCATGTAGGCTTCTGCACAATCATAAGATCTGTATACCAAGCCCAGAGGTTAATTCAAAAAAACATTCTGTTTAAGAAGCGTCATTAGAGATCACCAGTATTGAAGTGTAGCAATCTAGCAAAATTATGGTCTCGAATCACCCTACGTGTGCTGTGTCATCACTCCTAAGCTAATAAACACAAGGAAAATTAATATGTATATGCGGTCACAAGTATTTGCTAAATATTAGTGTTTGAAGAAAAAAAAAAAAACTGTAACAGTACTGTCATTCATACATAAATAATCCCTGTTAAAATATACAGGAAGAAATAAAAAGGAGTGAGCAATAACCCCATGGCCTGCACAATAAGCAAGCACAGCTGGTGTTGGAAAGTGTTGAGGGCTTTTATTTAGAAACCTTAGTTAAAATAAAGTCCAGGAAAGGAAGGAACCCTTGGATTCTCTGTGATGATAGAAAGTGTAAAACCATCTGCCTTAATGATTCTTAAAACAGAAATGCCAAACTGCCTGTCATCACCTGCCTCAAAACAAGACAAGACAAACATATGTTCACGAACGATCACTTTACACGCGCACACCCAGCTAGAATCAGATGTAAATGTTCAGGCTCACTGAAAAACAAGAAACAACACATTACCTCCATGAACCCATCCCAAAGGCCAGGCCATCGCTGTCACACCATTTCTTTAACACAACCAGGTTGCACTTATTCACCAACCTTCCCTACAATCACGTCACTAAGTTTGCTAGCCCTTTTGTCTACCAGTCCGATAACGTCTCATACAGCCACTGAGTCCACAACCTATTATTATTATTGGTATTTATGTAGTGCCAACTTATTCCGTCAAAGGTTAGCCATCTAATCACTGTTACCCCTACTCTACTGTGATATCTACCATCAATACCACTAATAAAACTTTCAACAGGCCAGCTCATAGTGAACGAACAAAACAAGACCTTCTACCTGGAACACAACTTTCCTTTCACAGCACCGTTACCATAAAAGTAAGAGCATTACTGTGTTCTCATGCAGCCAGTATCTCTATTTGCTAGGATGATCTAGTGTCATAAACAACTGCCAAAAACTTCTACGCAGGACAGCAACCTTCCATCCAAAATCTAATTTCTGCAAGACAGCATTCCTGCAATCCAGCATCACCTCCACAGGACAGCTCCCATCACATTCACTCCACAAGGCAGCTCCCATGCAATCCGACATCACATTCACTCCACGAGGCAGCTCCCATGCAAACCGACATCACATTCACTCCACAAGGCAGCTCCCATGCAATCCGACATCACCTTCACTCCACAAGGCAGCTCCCGTGCAATCTGATATCACGCTCACTCCACAAGGCAGCTCCCATGCAATCTGATTTCACGCAACATCCCCTCGTTTTCTTCAGGACAGTTCCCATGCATTCAGCATTCCCTCATCTCTTTCAAGACAGCTCCCATGCAATCTCCATCCTCTCATCCTACAGGACAGCTGCTATAGAATCCCCATCCTGCAGGGCAGCTCCTATGCAGCCAGCATTTTTCCCTCTTTCATGACAGCTCCCATGCATCCCCCATCCTGCAGGACAGCTCCCATACATCCAGTATCACTCCCTCTTTTAGGATAGCTCCCATGTATCCAGTATCACTCCCTCTTTTAGGACAGCTCCCATGTATCCAGTATCACTCCCTCTTTTAGGACAGCTCCCATGTATCCAGTATCACTCCCTCTTTTAGGACAGCTCCCATGTATCCAGTATCACTCCCTCTTTTAGGACAGCTCCCATGTATCCAGTATCACTCCCTCTTTCAGGACAGCTACTATGCATCCCCTCATCCTGCAGGACTGTTCACACACAGTCCCATTACCTCTTTCGGGGCATCTCCCATGCAACAAGCATCATTCCCTCTTTCGGGACAGCTCCCATGCAACAAGCATCATTCCCTCTTTCGGGACAGCTCCCATGCAACAAGCATCATTCCCTCTTTCGGGACAGCTCCCATGCAACAAGCATCATTCCCTCTTTCGGGACAGCTCCCATGCAACAAGCATCATTCCCTCTTTCGGGACAGCTCCCATGCAACAAGCATCATTCCCTCTTTCGGGACAGCTCCCATGCAACAAGCATCATTCCCTCTTTCGGGACAGCTCCCATGCAACAAGCATCATTCCCTCTTTCGGGACAGCTCCCATGCAACAAGCATCATTCCCTCTTTCTGGACAGCTCCCATGCAGCCTCCAGCGGATGGCTCCCATGCAGCCTCCATCCTGCGGGACAGCTCCCATGCAGCCTCCATCCTGCGGGACAGCTCCCATGCATCCAGTATCACTCCCTCTTTTAGGACAGCTCCCATGTATCCAGTATCACTCCCTCTTTTAGGACAGCTACTATGCATCCCCTCATCCTGCAGGACTCTTCACACACAATCCCATTCCCTCTTTCGGGACAGATCCCATGCAACAAGCATCATTCCCTCTTTCGGGACAGCTCCCATGCAACAAGCATCATTCCTTCTTTCGGGACAGCTCCCATGCAACAAGCATCATCCCGTCTTTTGGGACAGGACAGCTCCCATGCATTCCCCATCCTGCAGGACAGCTCCCATGCAGCCTCCATCCTGCAGGACAGCTCCCATGCAGCCTCCATCCTGCAGGACAGCTCCCATGCAGCCTCCATCCTGCAGGACAGCTCCCATGCAGCCTCCATCCTGCAGGACAGCTCCCATGCAGCCTCCATCCTGCAGGACAGCTCCCATGCAGCCTCCATCCTGCAGGACAGCTCCCATGCAGCCTCCATCCCCTGCTCTCTTTCAGGACAGCTCCCATGCAGCCTCCATCCCCATCCTGCAGGACAGCTCCCATGCAGCCTCCATCCTGCAGGACAGCTCCCATGCAGCCTCCATCCTGCAGGACAGCTCCCATGCAGCCTCCATCCTGCATGACAGCTCATATGCAGCCTCCATCCCCGGCTCTCCCACCTTGAAGTCCCGGCTGTGCTGGGGGGTGTACTCCAGGGTCCACAGGGATCGCAGCAGTTTGGCCAGTTGCTCGGTGACCTCCCCCCGGCTCTGGGCCCCTGGGCTGGGCAGGGAGTTGCTGTGGCCCCCGGGGGGGCTGTCCTCGCCCTCCTTGTACTGCTCGAGGCCCAGGAACTCCGCGAACAGGTCGGTGTTGCTCAGACACTGCAGCACGGCGTTCATGAAGCAGGTGTTGCCGTGGTTTTTGAGCCCGGACAGGCCGGGGCCCCGGGGGCTGCCGGGGGGCGGCGGGGGGGGCTGGGAGGAGCCGGGGTCCGGGCTGGGGGACTGGCTGCGGGCTCGCTCGGGGCCCGCCTTGGCCGGCTCGGGGCCCTGCTCGGTGCTCAGGTGGGACAGGGTGCTGAGGGTCCGCAGGAAGCGGCTGACCAGCCCTCCCCGCCGCCAGAACAGCCTCTTCCCCAGGGAAGCCTTCTTCTCCTTCCCGCCGGCCGCCGGGGCCCCGGGGGAGCCCGACACCTGCGACATGAGGGCGGCCCCCGAGCTCCGGGCATGCTGGGACAGGGCCCGGGGAGAGGGGGGAAGGCTGTCTCAGCACACAGCTCACTTCCGTTCGGGGGGGTGGGGGGGAACTCTCCGCCGTGCTGTACCACTACCCGCTCCGCCGGCGGCACGGTCACGTGATCCGCTCTGCGCAGGACCCTTCCTGGGGAGGGAGGCGGCGGCCGCCATATTGGTTACGGGCAAAGCGGGGGAACCTCGCCCTTAGCTTGTTACTATGGTGATAGCTCGGCCCCGCCCCCGTATTATGGAGGCTCTTTGTACTATCTGTGGCTGGGATTTATAGGAGTTGGAGCTTTTTTGTAAACTGGCTGAAATTGAAGATTGAGTTTACAGTGAATTTCACTTTTTAGGGTGAAATAGCTGAAATGAGAACATATTGAACATATTTTTTTTTTGCTTTTAATTTTACTATTTTGGAGTAAAATTTCCAATGACTCACAATTGGTTGTCTAAGTCTAAATTGTCACCTTGTCAACAGATTTAATTAAATTCTCTTACTGTTTATTATTATTATTATTATTATTATTATTATGTTATTATTTATATAGAGCTGTAACCGAGAAACACAGAGAGATGGATGCAGGTTTGCAGGAAGTAAGAGGTCTTTATTAACATAACGATAGGGCCTCAGATGAACTAACGTTCCAAAACAGGTCTGAGGGCCGAACACATGCAGTACATGCTTTTTATAGGACTATAACTCCTCCCATTAATAGCTCCACCCACACATACCCTTAACCAATCAGTGGACAGGATTTGGATTTCCTTATATGGGCAGACCACATGGCTCATCCGAAACAAAGGAGAAAGGAATGTGATTTCAGTTCCTGCAATCCTGCACATGCTCAGTACATTAATGACAGTATCTTAGCTACGTGTAACTAACTAACTGATACTAAAACACATATGCCACGTGGAAATCTCAGCCTACTAAATTTACATTTCACCGAAATTCCATCACATTCCCCCCTTTGATGCCTCTGAAACAAAATTATTCCAGATGCATCACCAATCATAGTTTACCAACACCTCTCAAGTAGCCATTGGACCAGAACAGACCTTGTAAGCATCTTAGCATCATCACAAACTCCTTCAGCATTCCTCATCCTGAATATGTTCTCTTTGGGCAAGGGATTCATATCTATAGACAGCCATTGCATGAGCAGCTGTCCTTCTTTATATAGTACTCTCTATGATACTACGTATAGATCTAACCACTAATAGAATTAGGCAGGGCAGAAAGAGACATAAGAATTTAATAAATACTACTCCTCCTACTAACGCCTTAATCCCTCCAAGCTGCTCATACCAACTTCCAAACCAACTACTAGGATTGTACCCATTCCAGACCTGAGTAGGTACATGCGTCAGTTTAACCATGTGGCTTGTAAATTCAGCCACTGTCTGCCCTTCATCATCTATGTGCAAACAACAGTTGCTGAGATTAAACTTTCCGCATGCACCTCCCTCTACTGCTTAAAGGTAGTTCAGAGCTAATCTATTTTGATAGATGGCTGATCTCATCCGAGTATTTTGCTTAGCTAGAAGATTAAGTGCTTGAGCTGTCTCATTGGTGATAATCTCAACCACCGCCTGTAGTCTTATAATACGGTTGAGCATATATATTAAGGTTATGGATTCTATATCCATAGGTACCATCTTCTGCCCAAGTATCAGGTCCATAATAATTAATAATGCATTGGGAAGGCCACTCATCATCTTCCCAGCTACCTATATTCAAGGATGCTTGCTTCTTTTTATGATTTCCATCATAAACCTTAACTCCCAAAGTCTCTCCTGTCTCAATTGGCAACAAAAAGAAGGATGGTTTGAGCATACCTAATACACATGCCCATTCCCAATCTTGTGGTAACTCTGAATATGCTTTCTTACCACAGATCCAATATAAATTCGCTGGGGCTTTCCAATTGGATGTAGCAGATAAGTCAAACCATACCTTTTTTAAATGGGTGTAATTGGTAAACAGATTAGTAGACTCTGAGACATTTGAAGCTGACCACCAAGTAGTATGTTTAGTATCGGCATTATAGGCTTTCTGTCCTAGACATATTAACTCACCAACAGGTGTGATATACAATGGCCCTTTCCCGGCTAAACATACATGACCTATAATGGAGGTTTTTAACCGCCACTCTGATTTACCTCTAGTACTTACTTGATGATCAGACTGAGAAAGTATTTGTTGTTCATCTGTCTCAGAACCAGGGTACCATACTTCCTTTGCCTCCTATGGCCACTGGTCTCCCATATTAGTACCTCCACATACAAAGCAATTAGTTACACTAAGACTACCCGCAATACTCTCAGCCAAATCAATAAATAGGTTCTTAACATTATGGGGAATTTTATCCTCAACACTCATCTCCTCATAGAAGGAATGAAAAACCTGATGAGTTTTAGTTGCTATCATATCAGTTTCAAGTCCTACATATATTATGGTCCCTGGATCTACTCCTGTGCCATATATTTGGAACCCAAATAGATTTTCAAACTTATCAATACAATGTTGTGGATTAGAGATGGTCATATGGACAGGATTACATTCCATAGACTTACAGTGTGGTGTAGTGGGCAACCTTTGGATAATCATATCTTGATCCACAGTTTTTCCCCAGGTCGCCCACCCTACACAAGACCAATATGGACAAAAATTTTAATCCCTATTTGGGCAATCAGGATCAGTAGATCTCTTACTGGGACATAAATATTTATCATTAAACCCATAAATTTGTTCCCATTTAAGATTGCCACATACATTCCAAGGTTTTCCACTACCAGAGATGCATCAAATAGTAAAATGCCCGTAGAATGTATGGTATTTATCACAGTCCTATTTATCAAGGTCCCCTGGGAGTTACTGTTCCGAATTACCAACCAAATTGTACGGGGTTCGAATTGGGGATCAAAACATTTAGACTCTCCTGATATTGGTTTGCACACACTGTAATCTATATCTAAATATCTACACTTAGATACAGATCCCCTACACTCATACCGTGAGTGCCAAATGAGAGTTTGGGATATTTGGTTACCTGTTTTTGTAGTCTTAATGCAGCTAACACAACTCTGTATGTCCTCACCTTTACCTTCCTGAAAAATCACAAAAATGCCTAAACACATACTATAACATATTATTTCAGAAGTCCTCATTTCTACTCTTCGACCGTGCGACGGCACCTCAGCTTCCCGATTGTGAGGGCTGCAAGGATTGTCGTTCTTCTGATCCTCACTTTTCTTCACAGAGGTCCCTTCGAGACACTCTGGCTATGACACGTAGGTAGGTGGTCAGGCTTTATTATGGCCATCAAAACACCTACTTGCTGATATCTGTTGTTACTTTCAACTAAGATGTCCCAATATCTCCTCGTATTATTTCTCACTCCGACTGAGCTACCCGCTTTAACCGGATCTTGCAAGGATTTTCAGAATCTGGAATAGCTTGCCAAGAATCTGCCGCTGGTTTAACCCTAGAATGATGAATCCACGGAGTCACTTCTGCCACCTTTACAGCTGTTGGAGTAGATAAAAGAACAACATAAGGACCCCTCCACTTTGGACCTAATGGAACAATATTCCATTCTTTTATCCACACTTGATCTCCCGGTTGATAGGAATGAACAGGTGGATATATGTTCACAGGTAACCTATCTTGCACCCATTTCTGTACTTCCTCCATAGTTTTACCCAACTCTACAACCTGCTGCCACGTAATTCCTTCACCCAACTGATTCAAGTCCCCCCCTTAGATTACTGAGTATGGGAGTTGGACGCCCATACATGATTTCAAAGGGAGACAGACCCATTCTTCTGGTAGGAGTACTACGTATCCGCAACAGAGCTATTGGCAAAAGGGCATTCCACTTGAGCTGAGTTTCCTGACACATTTTAGCCAATTGGGTTTTTATTGTTCTGTTCATCCTATCCACCTTTCCAGAACTCTGAGGTCTATATGCTGTATGAAATTTTCACTTAATACCAAGCACATGAGTCAATTGTTGTAAACACTGATGGATAAAGGCTGGACCATTGTCTGATCCGATAGATCTGATAGAACACGGAAGTCCATATCTGGGTATAACTTCTTGCAACAGAAATCGTACAACTTCTCCTGCCTTTTCTATACGAGTTGGACAAGCTTCTACCCAACCTGAGTAGGTACACACAGCTACCAACAAGTAATGATCTATAGTCTATTTGCAAATCTGACATTGGGAGTCCTCCCATATATTGAACTCCAGGGGGTTTGACAGGGCCTTGTCTTGCATTGTTTCGAGCACAAAAAACACATCTTCGAACAATAGCTTGAGTAAGATTGGATAATCTTAGCATGTAGAAATGTTTCCTGAGAGATTCTTCCATACTATCTCTTCCTGAATGTGTACCATTATGGAAGTTCTGAACAATCTCTATAGCCAGAGATGTCGGAATAACTATTCTTCCATCTTCTAACTGATACCAATTATTCTTCAAGTATTTCCCAGCTTCGGTCTTCAACCACTCCATCTCTTGGGTTGTATATATCGGAGTCCATTGAGACAGGGGTGCCGGCACAAGGGCAGCAACATACCCCACATATTCCTTTTGCCTGGATTTAGCGGCATGTTTTTCTGCACTATCGGCCATGCGATTTCCTTTTACTACATCACTATCACCTTTCAGATGTGCCCTGCAATGGATAATAGACACAGACCGGTCAGAGTGCCCATGGCACTGGTGTTTCCTGATGGCAGTGGTCTTTTTCAGCAGGATAATGCACCAAGCAACACTGTCCTGCAACATGACAAAGAGTTCAAAGTGTTTCCTTGGCCTCCAAATTCCTCAGATCTCAATCCAATATATCTTATACATAGAGCCCCTTCTCGCAACTTGCAAGACATAAAGGATCTGCTGCTAACATATTGGTGCCAGATAGCACAGGACACATTCAGAGGTCTTGTGGAGTCCATTCCTTGACGTATCAGAACTGTTTTGGCACCACGAGTGGAAACATCATGATATTAGGCTGGTGGTTTTACTGTGGCTGATCAGTGTGTATCCATGACATTTCGGAAGGCAGGCTGAGCATCATGGGAAATGTAGTTCTCAGTGATTTGTCCAGTCATTATTAGCTATCACTAGCATTCCACAAATCCAAATAGATATGTAAAAATAGATAATGGTACCCTCCACAAAGGGGGATATTAAAAAACTATTGGTGGATTTAAGGGAGGTCTGGAAGGCCGACCTAGCTGGCGTGCGCACCAAGGTTGACAGCCTCGCGGCTAGAATCAAAGGTGTTGAAACTAGAGAGGAGAGGAGAGAGCAGGAGCTGTTGGAGGCACGGGCCCAAATGAAAACAATGTCCGAGCAAATACAACGACTCACCCGAGCGGTCACATCAGTAGAGGCCAGACACCGCAGGAAAAATGTGCGGATTCGCGGGGCGCCCGAGAGCGTGGGCCCAGATGCTATCCTCGAATTTGCCAACGCAGCGGTGGCAGCACTAGGAGTGAGACCCACAGTGGGTGCATCACCCTTCATGACCGCTTTCCGAATATGGAAGGCCCCAACCGCCCCGCGGACGCACCCAGGGACATCATAGCGATTACCAGGGACATATCTGTTAAATCTGCAATCCTGACCCGATCAAGAAGCACCCCCACCGTCGTGATGGATGGATGTTCCATCCGGATATATGAGGACTTACCTTTTAACATCCTATTTGAGAGACGGAGGTTCATGCCCGTGACAAAGAAGCTCAGAGAAAATGGGATAAGATACAGATGGGGAGCATCGGGCACTCTTGTGGTGCAACAAGGGGACTCTGTCCTAACCCTGTCGGCGCAGGAAGACCCAGCGGGTTTCCTGAAGGCGCTACACCTCCTGCAGCAGACTGCCACCACACAGGCCACTGTTACAACCTCCACATCTGAGGGGTCCAGCCCAGAGAGACGATCAGTCAACAAGGCGGGAACAGCACACAAAAAATCACGATTGCTGAACCTGACCAAGACCTAACCAGCCGGGGAACAACCGGCGTCTCCTGGGCCCCCCTCAGCCCTGACCCCGCTAACACTCCACCGGGACTGCGCCAGCCTCTTTCCCAGTGTAGAAACGTTCACTCCTACGGCTACTGCGGTAACCCTTAGTTATAAGTTCCAAGCCTAGGGCACGCCAGAAGGCAATTTTTCTATACATACAAGAGACAAACGGCAAATGTACATGTTTCTGATAATTCTCAGAGTCTTAACTTTTATTACATTTCCTATCTTCTATATTTTTTGTTAATTTGATTTTTTTTTTTTTTTTTTGTTATTATTATTCCTCGTTATTATCACCCCACTGTCTGCTATTAAGATTTACTTAGGGGCAGTAACGCCGCAATAAGGTGAAATTTAACTCAGGCACCCCAGCCTGCTTAGTACTAAAATGCACAGCCTTAGACCATATACGACGCACAGGCTTTACTGATATTAATATTGACATTAATGAATAATTTACTAACTCAAATGGTGCTCATTAAGTGTGGCTCTCGCGGGAGAGGCACCGGCACATAACAGGCAGTTATACCTGAAATAGTTAAGTTGACATAGATTGAGACAACACGCATATTTTTTATATCTAAGACATCATTTTTTTATTTTTTTTTGCATAGCCTTAAGCTGAACGGTTGCCACAAGCATAATTTTCCCACGGGGGCCACCTTACTTGCATAAGCTGGGCCTATGACCCATGCGCGGCGTCGCTACCAAGACATGTAACCAAAGACGGGCATGGTGTGTACAACGAAGGGTAGTTCAGAGGTCTGAGTTTTTAAACCCACAGACCCATACCATAGAAATTATCTGTGCCCCCTGGAGACTGCTGCTCCAATTTTAGTGTATATTAGGAGGGTATGCAGCAGCACAGTTTTAAGGGCAATGTTTGGATATCCTATTATTTCTTTGGGTATTTTCTCATACTCAAAAACACTTTTTTTTTTTTTCTCATACCTATTGTTAATGACCATACATTTACACCTGTAACACCAAAATGTGTGACTGTATTCTGCCATGATAAAGCATTTCTTAATTGCGCCTGTGCCTGATGTTGGGGCACCACAGGCCTGTCTGTATATCTTGTTGCACAAAATAAAATAAAGAATAAAAAAAAAAAAAAAAAAATAGATAATGGTACGCATTTGGTCTACTATGTGCACTTGCCATGTAAGTGTAGTTTTTGTGGTTTATTCAATTTGTCCCATTTTTACCCTATTACCCTATTTGTTGCTTCCCATTGCAATAGGCAGACTGCACAATATATAGAGACTTGAGTCCAGGAATAGGGAGAGGCAGGACAGAGGCGGCTCTAGACTTTATGAGGCCTTAGGCGAAACTCAAGCATGAGGCCCCACTAACAAAAAAGTGTCACATTGATGTATGTGTATGTGCTGTGAGTGTGTCTGACAGAGAGTATCCTTGTGTGTAAATGTATGTCTCTGTGAGCATGTTTGCGTTTTTGTCTGAGACCCTATGTGTATGGGGTAACTGCTTGAAGTGTGTATGAGGGGGTGATGGTGAGAGGGAGAGGCGGGTGATGGTGAGGAGGGGGTGATGGTGTGAGGGGTGATGGTGAGAGGGAGGTG